TGGGGCTGCTGCATGGGCTCCCTGGGCAGCTTCAAACCGCAGAAATGGATCCTGGCATGTCTGGAGGCTGGAGATTTGAGAGCAAGGTGGCTGCAGGGCCATGCTCCCTCCGGGGGCTCTAGCTCAGGGTCCTTGCTGGTCTCTTCCAGCCTCTGCTGCCGCTAGCCATCCTCATGTCCCTTGGCGGTCACTCCACGTCACCCCAGCCTCCACCTCTGTTGTCACTGGGCCTTCTGTGTCTAAATTTCCCTCTTTTTATAAGGACACTGGCCACAGGATTTAGGCCCGGCCTAATCCAGTATGACCTTGTATTACTTACATCTGCAAAGACCTTATTTCCAAATAAGAGAGCATCACAGATGCTGGGGCTAGGATTTTAACATATTTGTGGGGGGGGGGGCTCAGTGCAAAACCCCCCAGGGAACCAAGACACTGAGTTGGTGAGGGATGTTTTCCTTCCTCTGTGGGGTGGTGAGCAGAGGCCTGGTTGAGAGGGTGACCTGGGGGCAAAGGTGTACAGGACCAGGGGGCTCCATGAAGACCTGGGGGAAGACTGTCCCAGGCAGAGACCATGGTATGTGCAAAGGCCCTGAGCTTCAGGGGCCAAACACACTTTTTTGCACCCCGGGGTCCTTCTTTTTGGTGTTGGGTACTCATGGGGTTCCATGAGATGAGGAGCCTTCTCTCTCCACCCGGGGCGGGGCCAGCCCGAAGGCCCGAGGCAGGGAAGGAGGGCCACCGTCTCTGTGCTAACCTGGCCCCGCACACTCACGGTCTCAGCCACAGGGTGCAGAGACCCTGCTGGCAGCCCTGGGGTCCTGCTCTCCACCACCTATGACCCTGGGGCCTCAGCATTACCTCCACGGTCATCATTAACCCCCCCACGTACGGCTGAGACAGCGGGGCCTCAGAGAGGCCAAGCCACTCACTCCGGGCCCCTAGCCCCGGTCACACACTGAGCCAGCTGGACACAGGGAGATGCCCCCCCAGAGCCCTCCAGTTTGGTGGCAGAGCCAGTCTCGGGGTGCCAGATGACCAGGGCGGGAAGGGCTGGGGTGGGGACCAACCCTGCAGTGACCAGACCGAATTCTGAAAGCGGGGGGTTTTATAGGAAAGCATCGAGTGGGGGTCGGGCACCCACGGGGCATCGTCTCTCCAGGGGTGCGCTGCCCCGCTGCTCCCCTCTGTGCCACTGGGCCTTGTGGGCGCAGAACCCAAGATGGCCTCTGGAGGGCAGCAGCTCCCCACCTTTCCCTGGAGCTGCCCAAAAGCTGTCCATTCACCTGGTTGGCTCAGACATGAGCACCCCCTCCCCAACACACACACACAGGTTGCACTGACAGCCTTATTGGGCACTTTCCTGTGGCCAACGTGGGCCCTGCCCAGGTGGCCACTGCATCCTGGCGTGTGCTACCTGACTCCCTGTTTCAGGGCAGACATGGGGGGCCGGGGGCACCAACGCTGGGCAAGGATTGGGCAGACCACGGGTGTGCTGGGCAGGACCGCCTTTAAACCACGATGCACAAGGAAATGTCGAGCCGGCCCTGTGAGGCTGTGGCACCCCCTTGCTGGTACAGAGCAGCAAGCGCATACGGCTTCCGGCCCTGGAGAGGTAGGTGCCAGGAGAGGGTGGGCCTGTGCCCCCAGGCTAGATGGGGCCCTGTGGGCTGGCACGCCCCTGCACCTTGCCCACTGCACCAAGGCCTGGGGTCAGCAAAGGGACCAAGGTGGTCTGAAAGCTCACCCAAATTCACAGCCCCGTCAGTAGGTCCTAATGAAATCGTGCTGGGTGGCCCAGAGACGGATCACTCAGCATCTCTGGGGCTGAGTCCCAGGATCTCAGAACACATCAGTGACTCACCAGGCATTAGCGGAGCACCTGCTGCATATAAAGCCAAGGCTCTGTGCTGTGGGATGGACACGTAAGAGCTGCAGCAGCGAGAGGCTGTATTAACAGAGGTATAATATCCAGAAGAGAGGAGGTGAGTGTTTCCCCATTTTCTTACACTGGCATGGTACTGGGTTCTGTTCAGAAGACCACATTTTGAGAAGGATTTTGGCACATTTTGAAGTCTCTTAGGGGAACATGCCAGGATGATGAACAATCTGGATTCCATGTCATGTCAAGAAGGTCTAAAGAATTTGAGTAAGGCAGACAATGTGATAGCCTGTATTGGGAGGTGGTGAGTTCCCCATCCTGAAAGTATTCAAGAGAAGGCAGGACACTAGCCTCCTTGGTCTGGGTTGGGGCTCAGGGTGTCCGTTTCAGCCCTCCACCCTGCCCTCTCCTCAGCTGCCAGAGGGGCCTTTCCACCAGACCTGATCATTCTGTCCCTTTGCTTGAACCCTGAGTGATCCTTGCTGCTCTGAGGATAAAAGATAGACCCCTGCCCCCAGATGGCGAGGCCATGCGAGTCTCCCCCCAGTTTGGTGGCAGGCTGTCATTCTGACCACACTCCCTCCCACCTCAGAGCCTCTGCACCTGCTGTCACCCTGCCTGACACTCCTCCATCCCCTTTCCTCAAGCAAACTCCACTCGTTCCCCAGGTCTCAGGTCTTCTAGCCCTTTTAGGGGCAGAACAGTGGTGCTGATGCCCCCCTCCCCACCCCACAAGCAGCAGTGAGCTCCATGAGGACAGAGACCACGTCTGATTTGCTCAGAGCTGTATCTCTGATGCCGTGCTCCAAGGGAAAGGGGGAGGAAAGCAGGAGGGAGGAGGCGTCTTACTGCAGAAGAAGGCTGGGGCATCAGGAAGAAGAGAGGTGACGTTAGTCAGCTCTCACCGGGACATGCCGCCATAACAAACACGCCCCTGCCCAGGGGCTTCCCGTAGTGGTGGTGGCTCCGCTCCACGTGCCTTTCTGTCCTGGGACTCCGGATGAAGGAGGAGTGGAGCAGGGACCCGTCACTCTCAGAGGCCAAGACCCAGGGACTTGGTGCAAACACAGGACAGCTCTTGGAGCCTCAGCAGGCAGCTTGCCACCCGGCTCAGCACGGCAAGAGGATGCTCCTCGCGCAGGGAGGGCTCCAGGTCTCCTGTGTGGGGCTGCGTTCTCCTGCAGAGCAGGACACTGAGAAGCAGTCATGCAGGCTTCCCCCTGGAAGGGTTGGGGGCCGCACAAGCAGAGTGTGAGCAAGAGGGGTGGGCTTCATGCGGAAGCTGAGGCCACTGCCCTTGGTGGAAGAGGCCACTAGGAGCCATGGGCAGTTCCTGAGCAGGGCCATGCTGTGAGCACACGCTGCTGTTGCCACCCTGGGCTGGTGTGGCGCTGGGAGCTGGGGATGCTGGGTGACAACAGAATGACAAGGATGGGTCCTGCCTGGTGGAAGGGCAGGCTGGCTCAGGATGGAAGCCGACCTGTCCCCACCCCTGGCACCTCCTGTGCCATGGACCCTGATTCCTGAACCCCCGCCCCCGTGATGGGGCTGTGGCAGCCTCTGGCCAGGGCACCCACCATGGACAGGACCTGGAAAGGCCAGGCTTGGAGTCCGCTGGACCACCTTCCTTTCCAAGCCCCAGGGGATGATGCTAACAACTGCTGTGGAAAACAAAGGCAAAAGAAATCTACAAAAAAATTTCCTTTGCAGCCCATTGACAAGCACTCGGGACAGGCAGGGTGACCTTCCTCCAGGAGCTCAGCTGCCTCCATGCTAATACTCTGCTAGAGGCCAAAGGCAACCTTAGTTTGACATTAGCCTGACCTCCAGGATCCTGTAAAAATTCCTTTGGAAACTTCCTTTATCTCTACCCTCCTCCCCAAGATATATGTTAGCAATCCTCCCCCAAGCCTATGGCCCGCTGATACACATCTGAAGGGTCTCATGACTAAGGGTTTACTAGACAGTAGTACAGGACCTTTTCCTTTTTCTTAATTTTATTTTATTTAAATTCAGTTAATTAACATACAGTGTATTATTAGTTTCTGGTACAGAGGTCAGTGATGCATCAGTTGCACACAACACCCAGGGCTCATCACATCACGTGCCCTCCTCAATGCCCGTCCCCCAGTTACCCCGTCCCCCCACCCATCCCCCCTCCAGCAACCCCCAGTTTGTTCCCTAGAGTTAAGCGTCTCGTATGGTTTGTCTCCCTCTCTGATTTCGGGAAACGACCTTTTGCTAACCTCAGCTAGCCCCGCGAGGTCCTGGAAACCTTGCTTCCAAATTCCTTAGAGACCTACGCTCTCCCTAACCCCCTCCCAACTTTAAAGTATATAATCACCTCCTCCTTGGGACCCCAGTGCAACTCTTTCTGCCCACGGGTCCTGTCCCCATGCTTTCGTAAAACCACCCTTTTTGCACCAAAGAGGTTTCAAAGAATTCTTTCTTGACTGTTTGCTCTCGGACACCAACCTTTCACATCCACAACCACACCATAAAGGCAGCCAGAGTGCTTTGTGCCCCGCTGGGCCGCCTTCCGGCCGCCACTGTTCAGAGAACCCAGAAGTTGGGGCCTCCTCTGCCTAGAAGAGATCAGATTCCCGGCAGAGCTAGTCAGCTTCTTGGAGGGCTTCCTGGAGGAGGAGGCAGCCTAGCGAGGCCCGGAAGGAGCGTGGAAGCGGATTCAGGGTCACTGCCAGGCCACTCCCGCCCCAAACCCGCAGGCCACACGGCGGGCGGAGTGGGCGGTCCGGGGGCGGCGCCGCGGGCGGACACCGGCGGCCTCCGGAGGTGAGCCCGCCCGGCCAGCGGGTCACGTGAGCGCCGGCCGGCCAGGTGGGGACGGTGACGCAGGCAGCACGGCCAGGTGTCCCGGGCGCGCGCGGCCGTCCCCTCCCGCCCCGCCCCCGCCCCGCCGGCCTGCGCGCCCACCTGGGCGCCCACCTGGCCGGACGGCCGCGCGCCGGCGCCTCCCGCGGGGCCGCGCAGGAAGTGAGGGGCGGGGACTGGGAGGGACCCGGCGGCGACTTGGAGCGCGGCCCGAATCGGCCGCCCGGCCGGGGCGCGGAGCCTGCTGGCTAGACCGGCCGGAGTCGCCGCCCGCTTGCCGCCACGTCCTCCGCCCCGCGGCGCAGGTGAGCCTGGGGACAGGTGAGCGAGCTGGGGGCTGGGGAGGGCCCGGTGACGCTGGGGCGCCTTTCCACCACTGCGCTCCCCCCACTCCCAGAGCTGCGCGGGTCGGCGAAACTTCGCGGCTCCGTCCCTTGGCCCGAGCTGCCCCGGGGACGGAGCCCGCAGGACCGGCGCGGCTGGACCCGGGGCCCGGACCCCACCCACGGCCTCGGGCGTCCACCGCCCGCCCCCTGTCTTCCCTGGAGCCCAGGGGGCCGCGTCCGCACCCTAGAGGGGACGCTTCTGTCGCAGGCTCTCCTGTGTAGACATCAGAGCCGGGAGACCCTTAGGGAGCCCCAGGACCTTTGAAAATGGGGGTCGGGAGGGGGCACAAAACCACCCTCCCCCAAAACTCTGGAGAATCTGCTGCCCAAACCCGCTTTGGCCTCAAGAGTTAGCAGCCCCCCAAATGAAGACCCTCCCTCCAACAAACCAGAAACAAACGCCTCCCCAACTGTGGTGGATGTGGGGGGCAGACCCAGCGGCTCAGGGTGTCCTGCTCACTCATAACTAATAAGGGCGGAAGGAGGGAAGAGTGTGGGGGCAGCTCCTGAGGGCGGTGGGCTCCTCTTACTGCTGACCAGCCTCCCGTTTCTGCACCTGGGAAGCAAGAATCCCTTCTGAGATTTGGGTGGACCTCAGCCCAGCACTGGGCATGGGGGGATCTCTGCGTCCGAACTGGAGCCCAGGAGAGCCTGACTCTTCCCACTGTCCTTGAGGTGAACAGTCGTCCCTTCCTAGTGTGGGGGCTCAGGGGGCACCTGCAGAGTCCGATCCCACACCCCCGTGACCTAGTGCTTAGGGGTGTGGCCCCCGGGTTCAAATCCTGGGTCCCTGTGAACTCAGGCAAGTTACAGAAGCCCTCTGGGCCCCAGTGTCCTCCTCTGTAAAAAGGGGAGTAGTCAGAGTACCCGCAGAGGGCACTGACTCAGCTGCAGCTGAGCCTCTGCTCTCGATGCTCCCCAGATACTGCCCACGGGCCACAGGAACAGAACCTCTGCCCGGGCAGGTGGGTGAAAGGCGCTGCCCGGGGCTCCCTGGAGTCCTGGAGGGGGAGAGCGGTGGGAGGCGGGATCTTGGGGGTCCCCGGAAGAAGTAAGGTCTTCAGTCACTTGGACAGAAACCACCTGCAGAGTAAGAGGGAGCGAGCCGAGCAGAGGACCCCTCCCCGCTCCTGGACACCTGTGCGGGAGACACCTGTGCCGGGCGGGCTCTGGCTCCCAGGCCTCGTCTCCCACCCCGCGTGGACAGCTCTTCACCTGCGCTTGAGGCACTGAGACAGGCAGGCCGGCGGCTTGCTGGGGGCCCCGCATGCGCCGCCCGCGAGGACGGCCGTCTGTGTGCGGGATCTGGGACGGGCACGGCCCCTCACCCTGCGTCTGGGGCCCAGAATTTTAGTTTCGGTTTCCAGACGGATGGCGGCTGCTTGTCTTCTTTGCCCGTGGCAGTTCCGTGCGCGGGCGGCCACCCGTGTGTAAGAGCGTCTTTATTTCTAGCGAGAATCCCTGCTCGCCCTGCTCTCTGCTGACAGACAGCCTCACCCCACCTGGTTTCCTCACCTGTCAGGGAACATAGCAGCTTCCGGAAGGAAGGTCAGTGAGGAACTACAGACACAGTGGGGAGAAAGCATCTCGAAGACACCTGCTGGTCACCTGGCCAGGCTACCTGTCGGAGTCAGGGCTCTGATTTCCCATCTGGGGCTTCTTTGGGGAAACACCCTGCGCGTCAGCCAAGTCTGGGATGGGGGCCAGGTTTATGGGACTTCTGGACTGAGAGACAGGAGCCAGTGAGCAATGGGTGGGCCTGGGGCGGGGGGCGGGGAGCACGGCAGGCTGAGCCGGGAGGGTGTGCTTCTCTGCGACTGTTCCCCGGGCCTGGAAGCCTCAGAACAAGGGGCTGCAGGAGGCTTCTGCCCAGGGCAGGCACAGCACGGCCCCTCCCCCCTGCCAGGCTGGGTGCGAGGCTGGGTGCGGCCAGGTGGGTCTCCCTGCCCCCCTACCGTGAACGGGGGGCCCTCTGGTCCGCAAAGCCAGGCTCTCCATCTTGGCACTCCAGACATTTGTTCCAGCAAGTTCCTTGTTGTGGGGCGCCCATGGTCTCCACCTACACATGCAGGGCTGGTAACTCAGCTCCAGCTGTGACCTCCAAGAATGTCTCTGGACATTGCCAAGTGTCACTGGGCAGGGTGCACAAAGCTGCCCCAGCTGAGAGTCCCTGAGCCACCCCTGGCTGCCTTGCAAATGGAACCGTCTGCTGCGCACTGTGACTCACAACGCTAAATCCTGCCCCCAAATCCTGTGTGACTCTGACGTTTGAGCTTGGCCAGGCAGAATTACCCGAGCACAAGACCATCATTGTGGCTCGAGGTAGCCTGAGCAAAGACCAGAGTCGGGCGGACGGTGCTGGAGAGGTCAAGCCCCACCAGGCAGGGCGGGGTCAGCCGGACCTAGGGCCAGAGCAGGACAGAGACCCCACAGATGGAGTGATTTGGGTCCTGCTGGCTGTGGGAGCGGCTGTGGGCAGAGCCACAGGTCCAGGCCGGGCTGATCCCACCTGCAAGGGCATGGGAGAGGCCTCCCAAGTCCCAGGAAGCCCATCTGTTGGGAAGAACGAGGGAGTGGGGGGCACTGGGCTGCAAGGGGCCCCAGCAGGCCAGCCCAGGCCACACCACAGCCCGGACGACGCCGAGTGCAGCTTCCGCCTGGCCCGGCTGAGTCGGGTCTCCTGGTCCTTCCCCGACCCCACCGGTTGTCTTTTTTCCATGCCCCGTTGCAAGTGCCCCTTTCCTGCCCTGCACGTGTGGTGGAGGGAGATTCAGAGCCATGGATTGCAGGGACCCAACAGTGGACCGGCCTCCCCAGCCCCCCCAAGCAGAAACAGCAGGAAGTCACCTGAAAGTCACCCCAGCGGTGGCTCAGACGGATCCGGAAGCCTCCGGTAATGCAGCGCTGGTAGTTTCTGCTGGCTGGAAGCGAAGTACCCGCAGGGAACCCAGGGCCTCTGGGGGAGGATGCGGCACGAGGGCGAGGGTACACCGAGCAGGGCAAGTACCATGAGAGCCAGCGTTCACGCGTCAGTGTGCGGATCAAGCCCAACTCTATGGGGACAGGAGATGTGAACAGGACGACTGTCTCTGCTCCCGAAGGACCCACAGACTCTCCGGGGAGACAGACACACAGCACGCAGCCCTCACTGCCCTGGGCATCTCTGGAGGAGCTTCGCGGGGCCACCTGTGCTGGGGAGCAGCCCCACCCCTGTGACCCGAGTCTGCAGTCTGTTGCCCAGATGGTGTGGCCGGCGTTTGCCCGGCGGCAGCTGAGAGGAGAGTCTGTGCCCTCGGCCCCTCCCTTGCACTGGCCCCAGGACAGCCGGCAAAGGCCAGAAGCCAGTGAGGACACTGGAAGAGCCATCCGGCCAAGGGAGAGGCCGCCGGGCGTCGACGCTGGGAGGCTGGGGGCCCAAGGAGCCTGCGGGGCAGCAGCTCACAGGCGTGCGCGCAGCCCCGCACACTGGCCTCCCGACGCAAGGCCATCTCTGCGTGGTCCAAGCAGACAGCCCAGCAGGACCACCCGGTGTTTGAGGACAGCCTGGTGCCTGCAAGGACGGCAGAGGCCCAGACAGAGGGGGCAGGGACAGGCCAGGGACAGAAAGGAACTGGAAGCATCATAGAACAGGATCAGGGTGCTCTGAGCGAAGAGCAGGCGACCGCAGCTTGCAGGACGGGGCAAACAATGCCAGTTTGGTGGAAAGGCTGGACCTTCCCACGGGAGGGCAGAGGGATGAGAGTACAGGACGGGAGAGGCCGGGGTGCGGAGGTGACGCCAGGGGCTGGAGTGCCCGCTCCAGGCTGCCCCCGAAAGGGGCTGGAGAAAACGTGAGAGAAAGTACGGAACATCACCGGCATCTGCCCAGACCTGCAAGACCTGAGGACGGGGTTGGAAGCAGGCGCAAGTCCGTGGCTCAGAGAGTGAACTTGGAGCTGTCCCCAGGAACACCAGAACTCCCCCATAAAGGGAGAGCCACACCTCCACAGGGCCGGGGAGAGCCTCAGGCCACAGTCCGGGGAGGTGAGGTCGGAGTCCGTAGGACGTCTCACCGCAGTGGAACGCTAGACCAGAGAAGAGGCCTCCTCGATTCTGGAAGAAATCATCTCCCACTGGCTCTGATCTCAGCCAGTTACCAGCCCGAGGGACAAAGATCTCCCTCTTGTAGCCTGGGATAGACGGGGGGCTCCAGGAAAGGACCAGGATAGGGGTAGGGGCAGGGAAGGGGGGGGGCCTGGGAGAGAGGACAGGGTCTCTGAGAAAACCCCGAGCGTATGGTCCAGGTGGACAAGGCAGGGACACGGACCGCAGAGGGGAGCGGGAAGGAGCAGCAGGAAAGCCGCGGGTAAACAAGAGGGAATTATTAACGAGGGGAGGCCGGGCGCTGGCGTCTAGCTCCTGCTGGCAGAGCTCCCTGAGCTAACGCAAACAGCCCCCGGGTGTGACACCCGGGGCTGGAATCCTGTCCACGGGGCGAGGAGAGCGTGGCCGATGCCTGGCTGCCATTAGATGCTCTCCGAGGAGCAGAAATCGGGGGAAAGCTGTGGAGGCTGGGGCAGTGGCCTGTGGGGGACCTTTCATGATAGGCTCTTGGTGCTCCTTGAGTTTTGGACCCGTGTCCAGCGACTTCTGGTAAACTGAACGTGAGGAGGAAGAAGACACAGGGGTGCCGGTGCGGGCGGTAGCTCCAAAGAGCTGGCTCTGGTCCCGAGGCCCTGCAGAGCCCCGGACGGTGCTGTCCTGCAGGCCTGGTCCCTGGACTGGTGGCAGCCCAGGCCTGTGGGTGCAGCCACCTTGCTGGGAACGGAGGTCACGCCCGGCAGTGGCTCGCCCGACAGGTTCCTGTTGGAGCACCTCTGGCCGCAGAGCAGACTTTGCCCTCCGCTGGGAGAGGCCGTGCCCCCGGCTGGGTCCAGGGTCTGGGGTCCAGGGTCCAGGCCCAGAGGCCGGGGCCAAGAAGACCCAAGCCTGGGGCCTCAGATGGGGGCGAGGGAAAGGAAGGACGGGGCGGGGCAGGAGGAGGGCAGACATGGTGCTGGCTTTGCGGGCGTGGGCTCCATGCAGCAGCGTGGCATGCACCGGCAGTAAGTGCCTTGTAGAAGAGAGGACTCGCAGAAGTTCCCGGTCTCCGGGCTGCCTACCCGCTGGGGTGCACTTCGCTTGCACTGCAGATGGATCGAAGTCTACCAGAAACTCCTTTCTCCACCAGGCCTGGCTAAGTGCAGATAAAGTTAATATGGGGGTGGGTGAGCCAGGATGGCGTGACCCGCCCAAGCTGCCGGTGACTCAGAATGTCCCCAGGAATGTGTGGGCCGGTCTCCGGGCGTGGGGGTGGCCGGGGCTCCACGGGCAGCCCCTCCCTGTCACCGGGAGGCTCAGCCACACACGCCTCTCAGGTGGTTTTAGCAGAGAGCGCGTGCGCTGGGGGGGCGAGGGGGGGGCTTGGGGAGCCAGGCTTCTGACTGCTGCCGGCACCCCGACTGCACTGTGGTTTAGGCCCCTCTGGAGCCCCCAGCTCGCCCCTTGGGGACGGATTCTGGAGCTGAGGCTTGGAACTTCCCAGGGGAAGCACCCAGATGCAAGGTTGGGCGGCGAGTGTGGGAGGTGGGCCCGGGCGGGGACCTGCCTGGTGTGTCCTGGGACAGATGCGGTGGCCTCCCTGGGGTACCTTGACTGCACAGGCCCTGGCGCCTCTGACTGCAGGCTCCCCGGGGTGGGAAACAGCAGGTGACACCCTCACACTCACAGGGCCTTCGGAGAAACGGGCTGCATCCCTTCCCAGGTCTGCCGCAAACGCGGCCCAGGGCACCGTGGTGAAACTCAGCTGAGCCTCAGCCACCTGGGCTGGTGACTTGGAGACGTAGTTCTCCCATCCAAGAAACAGGCTTCCACCCCTGCCAGGCAGGCCCTTGTCATGCAGGCCGTGTGTCTGCAAGAGGGTGCGGATGGTGGCTCTGCTTGCTTTTCCTTAAAACTTAAAAGGAAAAGATACACGGTGAGTTTTCTCCAATCCTGCGAAGTTCTTCTAAGCCGGCGCCTGTGCCGACTGTCGGCCTGGAGCAAGGAGCAGGAGCGTGAAATGGCCCCCCGTGGTCACCCCAGCATTGTGGCCAGCAGTCTTCCTGCACCCTCAGGAGGCGGGCCTCATTGTTACTCCGTCCGCTTGCGGATTTTGAAACGGAGGCGGAGAAAACAGCAGAGGGCAGTGACGGGTGGTGGGTGCCCAGGAGGCTGGTGTTGGCTCCTCCCGGCCCTGAATGGAAAGGCGGCCGTGGGCCCGTCCACACCGGCAGAGCAGGGCGCCCTCAGCCGGGTTGAGCCAGGTTGGGCTGAACAACCAGCCCACCAGTGCTTACAGACACTGGTCAGTGGGCTCTGCACATCTGAGGGTCTGAGGCACTCGGGGACCCAGGAGGGCTGGGCATCCAAGGGACGCAGGGAGAGTGGGCGTGACCGTGCCTGGCCAGGCTCTGGAGAAAGGGATCATGGGCCCTGTTCTGAGTTCGTAAATGTGGGAAAATGCACGTGTGTCGCTGGACGTGTAGGAAGGCTGTGTAGCCGGCCGTGGTGGCATCGCCACATGGGGCCTCAAAGACAAAGGGTCTGGAATCAGACCGGCCTGGGTTCAGATGCTGGTGACCCATGCCTCCTGACCCCCGTCTCAGGGCCGGCTCCTGGGTTTCTCGGGGTCTCGTTTCTTCGTTTGCAAAATGAGACTCAAGACAGCCGGCGTGTTTGGGAGTGGGTAGGATCATACACCTAACCCAGCATGGCGGAGCCTGGCCCTGCGTGCTCTGGAGCTTGGGGGCCAGGCAGAGGCTGGGGTCACGGCCACATTACCCAAAGCAGGCCTCAGGAGAGCAGCACAGACGGCATGATCCTTGTGCTCTCACTGACCAGAAAGAAATGGTGCCAAGAGGCCCAGAAAAGATGCAGCTCAGGTCTGCAGGGCCCCAAGTCTGTGCGCTCCGCACTGCCCCACGGCTGCACCCACAGTGTGGGGATTTGTCCTCGGTGTGTGTACCCACCAGAGGAAGCAGGTGGTCGCTTGTCCTCTGCCCCAGTCCCAGCAGCCTGGGGCCCTGCAGGCCTGAGCCTCCCAACCCTCCGCACACCTCCCTGGGGAGTCCTGGTGGCTGTGGGCCGTGCCATCCCCAGCTCTGCTCCAGGCCTCCAAGCCCCGCGTCCCAAGTAGGGTCTCTGGCCAGGGCAGATGCTGGGAAGCTGTGGATGGGCCCGTGTGCAGGGAGGCTGTGGGATGGACATCTGCATGCTGCCCTCACCTCTGCGCTTTTGCCCCAGGACACCGTGGCCACTCAGCATGTCCCAGCGACACTCGGACAGCTCCTTGGAAGAGAAGCTACTGGAATACCGTTTCCACTCAGAGCTACGGCTTGATGCCAAGGGGAACCCGGCATCCGGGGTCCCCATGGTCCGGGACTCCCTGCAGGTCAGGGACAATGCCACCTTCCAGCTCGATACCTCCGTGTCCCCACCTCTGTCCCTTAAGGATGAGGAGCCACGGGCCGTCGTCCTGAGCACACAGAGCCCTGCAGCCCTCAAGATGGGCACTCAGCAGCTGATCCCCAGGAGCCTGGCTGTGTCCAGCAAGGCCAAGACCCCAGCCCGCCACCAGAGCTTCGGGGCAGCTGTGCTCAGCAAGGAGGCTGCCCGGCGGGACCCCCGGTTCATCTCCGCCCCCAGCTTCTCCCTGGACGACATGGATGTGGACACGGGCCCCAAGGGAGCGCTCAGACGGAACCTACGGAACCAATCCTACCGGGCGGCCATGAAGGGTCTAGGGGCTCCAGGCAGGGAGAGGGGCCCCATCCAGCTCAGCCCCAAGCTCCAGGCTCTGGCCGAGGAGACCAGCCCACCTTCTGCTCTGTGTCCGGCCAAGAATAAGGTAGGGGCCTGTCCTCCTGGACACTGGGGCGGGGGCCATGCCTCGAGGGGCCTCGGGAGCTTGTAGGCGTAGACGGGGCCTCACCTGATCGTGTGGCTGCTGCCCAGTGAGCACCTACTGCGTGCAGGCACCTGACTCGGTTCATCCCAGTCCCGTGTGGCAGGCCGACTGTGAGCAGAGTGAGAACATCCCCATTTTACAGATGAGGCAGCTGAGGCTCAGAAAGGTCAAGGGCTTTCCCCAGGCCCCCAGGCTCTGGGGTCCCCACTCTCAGCCACAGTGGGGAGCAGAGACTCTGGAGGGGCCGGCCTCTCTCTCTGAGCCCCAAGGGGAGTCAGCCTGCCTGTGGGACAAGTTCCAGGGAGCGCTTCGGAGCAGCACCTGGCTTGGGTCAGTCTGCTTGAGGGGCCCCTGTCCGGGGCTTAGAAGTCTGACGGCTTCTCTGCATGCACGCCCTCCTTCCCCTGCCCGATGGCCCTTCTGCCTCAGTGTTCTCGACAGAACGGGACCGGCGCAGGGCCAGTGGGAAGGGCGCCCTTGCTCGGGATCCGTGTGCATCCCAGTGGCCGCCTCTGCCAGGGGCTGCCCCCCGGGACTGAGCTGTGGCCCCCGGCCTGGGGAGGAACCAAGCCCACCGTCAGTACAGGCATGCCAGCCTGCAGAGAGGAGCACCAGGGTGGGGCACAGCCCTTCCGTGCCTCCCGGAGAGCCCCAGGACCAGGCCAGCTGCCTGCTCGCTCACTCGCTGTTGGTTCAAGGGTGCAACAGATGTTTCCCGAGTTCTCCCGCATCTGGTGCCGGGGTCCTGAGAGGAGCCCGGCAGGCAGGCCCCCAGGGAGCTCCCAGGGCAGTGAGGGGGCAGGGGTGCCCTGGGGTGCTCATGTCTGGGCTGGGGCCATGCAGGGGGCCGACAGAGCCCAGAGGAGAGACTGGCTCCCCGGGAGCTCAGGGCAGGGGCGGGGACAGGAGACGGTCCGGAGGAAGAAGGGTTAAAGCAGAGGTGTGAGCAAGGGGCACAGGCCTGGAGGCAGAAGGGGCACTGCGGGGGCATGGGGTGGGGGGAGCAGGCCAGGTGTGGCTGGGGCACCACACCTTCCAGCCCAGCAAGCGTTGTTTCCAGGCCCCAACTCGTTCGAGAAACCAGGTCTCGCTTTCCTGGAACTGGCACAGCTTCTGGGTCAGGAAAAACTGTCCGGCCAAGGAGGCAGGCTCTGAGCAGGCAGCTGGTGGGGCCGCAGGTGGGGGCCCTGAGAGCCCTGCCACCCCCGCTTGTCTCTGCAGTCCTGCCAGCAGCTGGGAGCTAGACTCTGCCCCTCCTGCTGCCCCAGGTCCCAGACTGCATGGGGCCCTGCGTGGGGCCCCAGCTCCCACCCCTGGGCTTTCTCAGCCCCTCCAACCAGACCCGTCCAGCCTTCCCTTCACACCCAGTCGGAACACCCCACTTCCCTGAGCACCCCCTCTCGATTAGTTCAGTCCTGCTGCCTCTTCCAGGCAGCCCTCCTGGATCTGCCTAGCTCTCAGTCAACCTGCCCTCCCTGCTCTGAGCCCCCATTCCACCCCGTCCTACCAGCCCTGGCCTCTGCTCGGTGGCCTGGCCTCCCTCAAGAGCCAACCTTTATTGAGCACCTTCTGGATGCCCGGCAGAGCCCCCTCCTGTTGAGCAGGACTTCACGCATGGCGCTGTGGGGTCTCTGGGCCCCCAGGTGGAGGGCTTGCTGCAGACTCAGCTGCCTCCCCTCCCCGCTGACTACTGGCGTTTCTGTGTCTCTCCTGTTTGCACAGAGGACGCCAGGGTGGAAACGCACACACAAGGGCTCCTTCAAGGATGGTGAGTGGGGCCGAGGGAGGCGACCTCAGGAGGCCCCCGTGGGCCAGGCTGGGCCCAGAGGAGGCTGGTGCGGTGCAGGGAGAACATGCTGAAAGGGATTTCTCCAGGGACGGGAAGTCCCGGTGACTCATCTGACTATGTCGTTCTGATGGGTCTAGAAAGTTCCCCTGCACTCCCTTCTGCACCATTCCAAGGGCAGGGGACAGGCAGACCCCAGGAGATGTTTGCCAAGCATGCATGTGCCAGGCCTGTGTAGTGGGATGGGTGGGACCAAGGCCAGCCAGAGGGCGCAGGCCCCGGGGTGTAGACGCCCATGCTGCGTGCATTGCCTGTTTTCACAGGCGTACAGTGAGCCCAGTGTTGGGGGCTCGGGAGGGCCCAGAGCAGTGCGTCAGCCTGCTGAGGGGTGGGATGCCAATGGGACCCCACAGGGAGGTGGGGGGGTAGGGGCCTGCCCAGCGGGATGCAGCACCCAGTGGCTGTGAGGGGCAGGGTGCTTAGGGTGCAGGGGCCCAGCCAAGAAGGGCCCTCCCTCCCTGCCAGCCCCCGGCCTCTGTGGACAGCCACAGGCCTGGGGGCAGGATCCAGGGAGAGGAGCAATGATGAGCAGGTCTCAGTTGGGAAGGAGGGGCATGGGGGTTGCCCTGAGCCGGGCGCCAGCCCATCACAGTGGGGCTGCTACAGAGCCAGAGAGCAGGAGACTGCACCTCGGGGTTGGGCTCCGGGGAGCCAGCACCCAGTGCTCTCGGCCCAGCCTGGGAACAGCCCCCACCCAAGGAAGCCCCTGTGGCTCGGATTCGTCGGCTCAGCCCTGGTCTGAAGGTGCCACATTCTGCACTGGGACGCCACCCCTGTGCTGGGCTGGGTCCGGCCCAGCCATGGGAGCCAGCCAGCCTGAGAGGAGCCTGCTCTGGGGGGCCCTGCGGCGCCTGATGCTCTCAGAGCCCCCTTGGGAGGACTCAGCCTGCAGGTTCCCAGCGGGGCATGCACGCTCAGAGCCCCCAGGCCTGCAGGTGACACACCCCCTCTCCCCAGACCCCGGGTTCTACCAGGAGATCCGGGAGCGGGGCCTGAACACCAGCCATGAGTCCGACGATGACTTGCTCGATGAGCCGTCCAGCCCCGACGGAACGGGAAAGGCGGATGCCCCCATCGTAGTCAAGAGCTACCGGCCTGTCCAGGTCACCTGGAGCCAGCTCCCAGAGGTAGGGCCAGGATGGTGGGCTGAGGCCCTGAGCCCAAGCCCATGGGCGGTTGGTCCCTCAAAGCCAGCCTGGGTCCTCCTGTGTGGGGAGGAGCCTTCCAGAAGTACCCTCTATGCCTAGCTTGCAGCAGGGAGCCCCCTTCCTGGTGTGCTCTGAGCTGCCCTGCCCCGAGGACACTGTGGATTTGGGTCCAACGGCGGAGGGGTGGGGAGCCATGAGGGCCGCATGCCATCGGCGTGTATATGACGAGCCTCCCGCACGTGAGCCCCTTGCCCTCTCCCTATTCGGGCTGACCCCCTTCCGAGGGCCCTGCCCCCAGGAGAGTGCCAGGAGGGTCCGAGTGGGGAGACAGGAGCAGAAGGGAGAGGGCCAGGCCTCGGCTTCAAGAGAGCCAAGCTCCCACCTCACTCTCCACACCTGAAATGGAGCAGGTCCCTGCCAGGCAGGCCTGCGGGGGGCCCCAGGGAGAGCTTGGCTGGGACAGAGGTCCTGGTGCCCTGAGCAGGTGTGCGGGGAGGTAGGTGTCACTACCCTAGGAGGACAGCCACGCTCTTGACCCATCCCCATCCCCAGAGAGCCCAGGGACAGGGCTGCCCTGTAGCCTTTGGGCAGGGAGGGCGGCTGTGAGTGTGTCTCCCGGGTTGGGGTAGAGTCCAGGACTTGCCACCAGACATAATGATCCCGGTCACCTGAGCTTGGGGGATCGGAGCCCAGCCTCTGGGCTGGACGAAGAGGCAGGGGATTAGCCACCTGGCGGCCCCGGGGCCTGACAGCATGGAGAGCTAGACCGTCAGCCCGGACCTCCTGGGTAGGGCGCAGACTCGCCCGGGCCAGTGTGTCTGAGTTGTGGTCCTGTCCCCGGCACGCCTCTCAGCCCCCAGGCCAGCTCTGCGGACAGAGCCCCTTCCCCACCCCAACGGCGTCTGCCGGCCGCTCCCTCTGGATGCCCGTCTTCTTCCTCGGCGGCCCCAGGGCTCTTCGGAGGGGAGGCCGGGCTTCCGGGATGTGCAAAACCCGTGACCCCCAGGCCGGTGTCCTCCTCAGGTGGTGGAGTCCGGCCTCCTGGACAAGCTGCCTGCTGAGGAGCGCAAGAGGCAGGAGGTGAGGGGCTGGGCGGGGGTCCAGCCCTGTGCCCCAGACTTGGTGTGGGCCACACAACACACATGGGGCAGGACGGCGGCCACGGCGAAGCCTACCCCCTCCTGGCAACGCCCTTGGCTGGGGGGGTTCCGTCACCTCTTCTTGGACGCAGGTGGGGGTCCTGTCCAGCATCACAGCCCACAAGAGGCTGAACCAGAGCGCGTGCGCAGATGTGGGGCTCTGGTCCCCACGGCCAGGCTCACAGCCTTGCCCCAGGTCTGGTCCAAGGGCCCGGGTCCAGCCTGCCCTGCACCCTGACCGTGTCCCCGAGGGGAACGGTGGCCCTGGCAACTGCTCGCTCTCGTCCCCGCCAGGCCATCTTTGAGATCCTCACGTCGGAGTTCTCATACCAGCACAGCCTGGGCATCCTGGTGGCCGAGTTCCTGCAGTCCAGACAGCTGCGGGCGACCATGACACAGACCGAGCACCACCACCTCTTCTCCAACATCCTGGACGTCCTGAGCGCCAGTCAGAGGTGAGGCCCGCGCCCAGCTCTCCGCCGCGCCTGCCAGGGTCACCCCCCCGCCCTTGGGGCAGCACGGCACCAGCGGCATCTCGGGGGACTCCCGGGCTGGGACCATGGGCGGAAGGTTCGGAGCGGCCACTGGCGGGGAGGGGACACGGGGACCTCCTCAGGCCCTGAGGCCACCGAGCGCTGGGCCCCGTGACAGGCTGAGCACCCCGCCCCCAGCACCCTGTCCCTTGCATGTTTGAGAGGGTGGAGCACCTGCTAGATGACGTCACCTTCCCACCAGGTCGCCAGGTGCAGAAGGCTGAGCCACAGGTGTGGGGTGGCCATGGGATGGAGCGGGTAAGAGAGGCCTCGAGTTGCAGCCTCGGGTCCTGTTCTGCCCGGCAGTGTCTGGTGCCTGGCCCAGGGCTCTGGTTGCAGGGTACAGCAGTAGAGGAGGGGCCTGCGTGGGCCTGTGTGTGTGCGTCCACGTGCCTCTGTGTGTGTGTACGTGTTTACTCCCACGGAGGGCTCAGCCCCACCAGCCTTGGGCCCCAGAACACTGCAGGACACCCTCCCTCGTGCCTCAGCATCCTCCCTCAGCTGAGGAGGTGGGTACCCTGAGCCCCTGGAGGGCTAGGGTTAGGGGCAGGTGAGAGAAGGTGGCTCAGCCCCGGTTCATTCCCATCAGCATCAGACCCGTCCCCTGAGCCCCACAGCACCTGCTCCCTGTTGCCCCCATGAAGTTTCAGAGCCATGCCGGGGGAGGGGGTGTGAGCTTGTCCCTGGAGACGGGTCCTGCTGCAGAGCTTCAGTGACCAGCCTGGGGAAGCTTGCAGCCTTTGACTCCATGGGGGCCTAGGGTAGGCGGCTGCCCTCCACCCAGCTCTGACCCTTTGCTCCATGTCCCTGAAGCACAGCAGAGGGTGTGGACCCACACTTGGCCAGCTGTCCCGTTTGTGCTGAGCTCCCCAGGGCCTCTGGCTGGTCCAGCCTCCTCCCCCAGCTGGGTCCTGGCAGCTCCTAGCCATTCATAGTGGCTTCTCTGGGAATCAGTTTTCTTGGGTCAGCAGCTCATGGCTACCTTTCCCAGAACTTTCTCAGAAACCCTTGGAATTGCCTGGGGGGCTGCTGACCGGTGTGGCCCCGCCCACCCAGGCACAGGTGTGTGGCGCTGCATCTGGGCAGCTGGGGCCTCCCGAGCCCTCCCTGAGGGGGCAGGGTCCTTGTCTGTTCCTGACACACTGTCCCCCTCTGCCTGGGCTGCCCAGGACCTGGGGCTCTCAGAGTGTTCCCCCTTGTGGGACACATGGTGCCCCCGAGAGTGGAGGGTCAGGCAAGGCCCGGCAGGCAGGGTCCCTCAGGACCCCCGTCCTCAAAACCGCAGCTTGTTCGCCCTCCCTGAGACCCGCACCAGCCTTACCAAGGGTAACCAGAGCAAGGCCCCCATCTTCCAGGGGGTGGGGTTGCCCATCCTCCCCCCCAGGTGGTACCCCCGTCCCAGGTGCTAGGTGGGGCTGACGGCAGGCCCGGTGGTGCCTGCATTGTTGAGGGCCCAGGACCTCCTCACCGCCCCGGCCGTGTCCCCCAGCCCTGACTCACTGTCACAGCGCTGGATTCCGTCCCTCCTACTGGGCGGGGGAAGCAGTAAGAGCACGTGCAGCTGGCCGTCCCCGGCCTGGTCAGCCCCAGGTTGGGGGTTCCGGCCGCCGGGGGGATGGATATGTGCTCGGGGACGCAGCTCTCCGCCCTCCAGAGGTCAGCCAGCTGTCTTATCTTCCAGACAGGCTGCCTCGGGCAGTCCCAGGAGCCCAGCTAAACGGGGCTTTCAGAGTCGGGTACGGGAGAGACTTGGTCATTGGAGGAGGCAGAAGGCCAAGATGGGGCCAAGGAGCCTCCGGGAAGGGGGAGGACCTCCCGGCTGCCTTGGCCAGGGCCTGGGGAGGTGACAGGGCCTTGGGTCCACCAGACGTCCTGGTGCCGGTCCAGCCAGGCCCAGCTGTGGCAGCAGTGGTCCGCAGAAGCAGAAGCATGGTCACCCCCGGTCAGCGTCCTCCTGATCTCCGTGGCCAAGGATGATCTCAGAAGGGGACCCTGGGAGGAAGCGGGGCCTGGTGGCCACCGCTGGGGAGTCCACCCAGAGCCCCCGTCCGCACATCGAGCTGGGCAGAGGGTGCCAGGGCTCCAGGCAGGTCTGACCCAAGCCCAGGGAATCAAATCAGAGTGACGGGTTCTCTGTCCTGCCTGTTTGCGTGTCTCCTGGAATCTCTGCCAGAATTTAAGTGGAGGTGGCCTTGGGTTTGCCCAGTTACTCCAGGCTTAAGAGGCTCATCTGTCCTGGGGTCTTCCCGGGCGGCGGGTCCCCCACGCGCCTGCTGGGTTCCCACCGCGTGTGCCGTGGTGGTGGATGGCCAGGCCTTCACCACACTCTCGCCCGGTTAGGTTCTTTGAGGCCCTGGAGCAGCGGCACAAGGCACAGGTTTGCGTGGAGGACATCAGCGACATCTTGGAGGAGCACGCCGAGAAGCATTTCCACCCCTACATCGCCTACTGCTCCAACGAGGTCTACCAGCAGCGCGCCCTGCAGAGGCTGACGTGAGCGCGGCCTCCCTGCGGCCGGGGGTCCACTCCGGGCGCCCTGGTCTGGGAGCACATTCCTGTGCGCCGCCCGGCTTGTGCCGGCTGCACCTGGCCTCACGCCGCAGGTGAGGGCAAGCCCTGTTCTCTGTTGCAGAAACAGCAACGCCGCCTTCCACGAGGCCCTGAAGGAGATCGAGAAGCGTCCCGCATGCGGGGGTCTCCCTATGATCTCCTTCCTGATCCTCCCCATGCAGAGGGTGACCCGGCTGCCCCTCCTGACGGACGTGAGTATGCCACGCAGACCCCTGCCGGGGAAGGAGGTCAGCCCGGTCCCCCGCTTCCAGTTGAGCACCGCTCCTTCACGTCCTGCTCCCCGGCGCTCCTCGGTCCTCACGAGTCGGCTTTCACAGCCTTCACCCGCGAGGCTCCCTGCCCGGGACCTTCCAGCACTTTGTGGGTTCGCATCCACTTTCTTGTAGGTTCGCAGGGTCCGTTCGCATGGACGAGACAGAACCAGCCTGGGCACCACTCACTGCCCCCTCGGTGGATGGAGCGATGGAGCTCTAGGAGCTCCCTGCAGCGGCTCACTCCTCTGAGATGCCTGCTCATGGGGCCGAGGGGCGGGTGGGGGTGAGAGGCACCCACGCACGCCCACGTGAACGTATGCACATAAGGCGGGGCCCGCTAGTGGAGGTGGCCTTGTCGTGGCATGTCGTGGCTCATGCTTGGAGGATTGTCGTTCAGGCCAGATGGGATGTCAGGCCTTCCGGGGCTCCCTCGGAAGTGTCGAAATAGAGGCTGTGGGGGTCCCCCCAGACTGGACCGAGACAGCTGAGGCCTGGAAGGGCTGAGGTCCTGGGAGGTTGCCGTCTCCAGGGTCCCACCCACCAAAGCCTGACCTGGCAGAGCCTTTTGGGGGCTGTGCACCCCCCTGGGGCCTGGCAGGAGCCTGCTGGACACGGGCTCTCGACCCCCCCGCGGCCCCCACCTGGGTGTGTTGGGGGGGCCTCTGCCGCACGCGGGCCCGAGTGCAGCCAGGTATGTAGTGCCTGACATGCACGGTCCTCTCTGCAGACTCTCTGCCTCAAGAGTCAAGGCCATCCCGAGAGATACAAGGCCGCCAGCCGCGCACTCAAGGCCATCAGCAAGGTGAGGGGGGTCCAGGGGAGGGGGGGGCAGGGGCAGACCTGGACCGAGCCAAGGTCTGCCCCTGCCCCCACCCAACGATGGGGACCCCGAGGGCAGGTTCCCACATCATCCATGTCAGGCTTTTCACGGTGCTGATGGGGAAACCGAGGCCCAGAGGGAGTGGGGCTTGAACCTGATGGGTGAGCCCGTCGGGGGGCGGCAGCGAGGACAGCCCCGGGGCACAGCCTGCTCTCCGGCCCCCTGCAGCTGGTGAAGCAGTGCAATGAGGGGGCCCACAAGATGGAGCGCACGGAGCAGATGTACATGCTACACACACAGCTGGACTTCGGCAAGGTCAAGGTGGGCGCTCCGACCCCTCCTGAGCCAGCTCCTCAGAGGTCGGGTCACAGCCTCGGGGCCTCTGCCTCAGCCTCTCCAGGCCTCAGTTTCCCCACCAGGGAGCGTCCCTTGTGACTCCCGCCCCCCTTGGCCGCAGAGGCTCAGCTCTGCCGCCCTCCTGCCTGGGGTCTCTCTGGCCTGTGTCCCCACCCCCAGGGCTGCCCCGAGGGCTTGCCCCGGGCCAGGGCTCCTCGCAGCACGCTGAGAACTGGGAAAGGACAGTGTCGGGGTCAGTTCATGTCTTGGGCCTCCCTCAGTCTGGGGAGAGGTCTAGACATCCTACAGGCCCTCCGAAGCCCCCTGGCCAAGTCCCATAGCAAGTGAGGTGCAGGCGGACAGACACTTCCCCATGGGAATGCTCTGCGGGACTTGGCCCGGAGGCAGCTCTGTGGGCCGGGCCTCCACTTGGCCTCGCTCGGGCTGGGCTGCCGACCTCCAGAGGCTGCCCGGCAGGCCGGAGCTCGGGGGGAGCGGGCGCTGTGGGCAGGACAGGAGAGCCACGGAGTGACCGAGGGTGGGCACAGAGGTCTGGAAAAGGGTGTGAGGGGTGTGTGGAGGCTTCCGCACCATGGCCTTTGCTCTCCGGCTCGGGGGCAGTGCTCGGCGGGTGCTAGGAGAGCCCCTGGGCCCGGCCGGAGGCAGGACGGGCCTGTCCTGGTTGCTGGGCAGGATCTGGGCCCGGGACTTGGCCCAGAGCCCTGTCCCATTTGTGCCTGTCGGCCAATGGAACAGCCCTTTGTCTGAGGGGAGGACACATCTCCCCGTCTTCCTTGGTCCAGCCAGGGAGGCCGGTCACCCAGTCCTTGGAGGCAGGGGTCGTCGCTGCCCCCCCAGCTCCGGCTCTTCCTTCCAGTCCCTCCCGCTGATCTCGGCCTCCCGCTGGCTGCTGAAGCGTGGGGAGCTCTTCGTGGTAGAAGAAACCGGGCTTTTCCGAAAACTGGCCAGCCGGCCCACGTGCTACCTATTTCTGTTCAACGACGTTCTGGTGGTCACCAAGAAGAAGAGGTGGGCTGCCTGGGTGCTGGGCTGTGTGGCCCTGCGATCGGGGCCGGAGGGGCATGGGGGCAGCCTCCTGGGTCTCCTCTGACCTCAGAACTTGGGGGGGGCCCTCCAGGCCTGACCTGTCCCTGGCAGCGGCCTGCATCCCCCGACGTGTGGCGTGGGGTGGCCAGGTGCCTCTCACTGCCGGCAGACCGGGGTCTGCCCCCCCAGGCCACAAGGACGAGAACGCACGTGGACTCTGTTTTCTGGGGAGCAGTTTCAGGCGCATCCTTCTGGCTGCGTGTCCCGCAGCTGGGCAGGGGCCCTAGGCTGCCCACAGACCCCCTGTCACATCTGGCCGCCCACCTGTCTCCCCGCAGCGAGGACAGCTTCATGGTTCAGGACTACGCCCAGGTGGACCACATCCGGGTCCAGAAGATGGAGCCCTCCGATCCCTCTCTGCTGGGGGGCGGCGGCAGCCGCAGCTCCTCGGTGCCACACCCCTTCCAAGTGACCCTGCTACGCAACAGTGAGGGCCGCCAGGAGCAGATCCTGCTGTCCTCTGACTCGGCGTGAGTCAGGGGAGGGCTCCTGGGAGGAGGGGTCCGTGCCATCGAGTTCTTGGGCACCTGCTGTGTGCCCGGCCCTGCAGCAGAGGCCAAGGGCAGCCTTGTCCTCCCAGAGTTCACACTGCTGGGAGGGGGACACATCAGCCAGACGAGCAGCTGGACCGTCGGGTGTGTCCAGGGACACCAACGAAGGAGGAAGTCAAGGCAGGGAAGGGAGTGCCAGGTGGGGGCAGCCTGACTGGCACGGTGCCGTTTGGGGAGTAGGGCCTACCAGAGGCACAGCAGTGCAGAGGCCCTGAGGCAGGAAGCCTCTGCTGAGAAGCAGCCCGGAGGCTGGCAGGGCCGGAGCCCAGGTGCCGGCGGTGGGGGGTGGTGAGGTCAGAACCATCTGGAAGGGGGGCTGGGCAGCACACAGAGAGATGGCAGCACAGCAGGGTCTCAGCAGACAAGGGAGGAAGGGACGAGGCTGGCTTGGTGTCCATGCTTCCTCCAGATGGGAAGTTGAGGCTGAAGGTTAAAAACCATGAACTGACATGGGGCAGTGGGCTTGGGGCCCAGCACCGGCAGACAGGGTGGCCCGGGTGTGGGGGTGCGGCTGCCGCCTGACTCTGGGACCCTGGGCAGGTGAGACTCAGGGTCAGCCTGCCTGCCGCTCCTTCTCGCCCTGTGACTTCCCACACATGGTCCCTCAGTGGTTTATGGGGCTCAGGAAAGGGCGCCCCGGCAGCGTGAACCTTTAGAGTCACTGCCCGTCGCATCTTGAGGGCTGTGGGGCACGCTCAAGGAACCCCCGGCCACGTGACGCCCTATCTGTCCACGGTGCCACGCTGGGGGCGGGGCGTGTGAAGCCAGAGGTCCCCAGGCTGGCGAGAGCGGCCTCAGGGCCTCACGCACCCCCTCTCCACCCGCAGGAGTGACCGGGCCCGGTGGATCACCGCACTCACTCACAGGGAGAGGCAGGGGCAGGGCCCCACCAACAAAGGAGGTAAGCGTCTGCTCCACCCTGAACAGGGCTCACAGCCCCTTCCCCGGGCCTGGGCAGGGGGTTGGCATGGAGCTAGGAGGCACTGTCCGGCCCTCTGTCCATGCCACTGCATGCCCCCAGGGTGACCTGCCCAGGCGAGGGACCCCAGAGCTGCATCTGTGCGTGTCTGTCTGTGCACAGGGACCCAGCTCTGTCCCAGGGCCTCCCCTTCCGTGCCGGGGAGAGAATGCTGCCCCATGCCCAGGGACTGGAGCCGACTGAGGCCCCAGCGGGGCAGCCAGCTGGCCCATAGATCTGTCGCCCTGGCTCCAGCCCTGCCCTTTAGAAGCCGGGTGCCCCCTCTGCCGGTGCTGGTGTTTTGGCTCTGAAATCAGGAGCAGCCTGTCCTGGGGCCTCTGGACAGAAGCTGCCACGTGTCCAGAGCCCCCCAGACCCCACCGAGACCAGGCCACAGGGGACATGTTAGGAGGCAGGGCACTGCCCAACCGGGGGCTGCCAAGCTCCTGGCCCTTGCGCTCTCAGGGACAGCTCCGTCGCTGACACCCACCCCCACCTGCCCCCGCAGACCTGCTCCAGGTAGAGATCACCAAGGCCTACTTGGCCAAGCAGGCGGACGAGATCACGCTGCAGCAGGCGGACGTGGTCCTGGTCCTGGAGCAGGAGGATGGTGAGCACGCCGGGGCTGGGCCTGGGTGGTGGCGGGGTGTAGGCGGAGTGGACCCCAGAGGGAGAGTCCAGCGGCCCCGCAAATGTCTGGAGCACACCAGGTGCGGGCAGTTGACCCTGAGCCTGGCTCCCTGGAAGCAGTTTCTGCACCTGCTCACGGTGGGCCTGATCTGAAGCCCCTCAGCACCCTCCCTCAAGGACCTCTTCAGACGTCCCTGAGTCACAGGATCAAAATCAGCTTCTCTGTCACTCTGTGTCCTCAGCGGAAGGAGGGAGGCTCTGCTCCTCCGGGGGGCCCCCTGCACAGGGCATGCGAAGCTGGCTGGGGCCGGCTCAGCCCCTGACACCAGCGTCCCGGCCTAGCAGCTGCTAGAGGACCAGATGCCCCTGTGACCTGGAGCCAGGCCCTCTTGGCAGGAGCGGGTGGTGGTCTGCCCTATGGGAGGCCTGGCCCTGGCAGCTTCTGGAACAGGGGCTCCGAGGGCTGGGGGTGCCCGGATCCTGCCCTCACCTGCCCCACATCTGTGTTCAGGATGGTTCTATGGCGAGCGGTTGAGAGATGGGGAGATGGGCTGGTTCCCTGAGGACTTTGCCCGGTGCATCACCAGCCGCGTGGCCGTGGAGGGCAACGTGCGCAGGATGGAGCGGCTGCGCGTGGAGACGGACGTGTAGCCCGCCCTGCCCAGCACCTAGGCCGAGCTCTGCTTCCATCCAGGCTCCAGTGAGCGACCGGGCTCGTGGACAAGGTGGGCTTGTCCCAGGAGCCTGAATGGTCCATGGGTCCCCGCGAGGCCCTGTGGTCTGCAGTGCCGGATCCAGACTCTTCCAGGGAGGAAGATCACACGTGCTGCCCGCCCCCGTGGAGCATCCTCCACACCAGCTCTCGGGGCCCCAGCTCGCCTGACCCCTGGCCAAACCCCAGGGAGGAGCCCTGCCCCTCCTCCAGCGCCCTGTGCTCCCGCAAGGCGGTTGTGCAGGATGTGGACCCAGCTCCCTCCCTTGTCCTCATGTGGGACAGAGGGCTTGGGCATCCAGGGCGGCCCCACTTTTGGAGAGGAGGTCCTGCCAGAGGGAGGTGACACTGTGGGGCCAGTGCCGAGATGCTGAGGTTTTCATAGACTAATTAAAGTATTTCTTTAACACCTGGATTTCCATGGAAATCCTCACCCAGAAGGCCAGATGAGTCCCTGCAAAATGCCCAAGGTGCCGTGGGCCATGCCTGCTCCCCGAGTGTGGGCGCCTGTGTCAGGTCCTGGGGCCTTGTGTGGCCCCCTTGTTCAGGGTCACCCCATGATCCTCTGTGGCCTTGGCCTGACTGTCCGCATGGAGCGTCGCGGGCAAAGCCAGTGGCTCCTGATCCCCATCCCCGCACACTCCCTTGCAAGGCTCAGCCTGGCCAGTGGGTCTGGGGACCCCACTGGTATGTCCCCCCCGCACCCACCTCCCTCACAGCCCATCTGCTCCCCTAGGCCCTGGACGTGTGTTTGGGGAGGGGCAGGCTGGCCTGGGCTCTTGGCTGCTAGGCCAGGCTGGAAGGCTGGGTCGTGCCCTGCCGGCCCTGCGATGCCTCTTGCCCCTGTCCAGGGGCCCTCTCGGCCTGGGCAGTGCTGTCCTTGGGGTGAGGGCTCGCTGGGGCACCGGCTTCGGTTTGAAAGCCAGGCTGTGGCTCCCCACCTCCCAGCCGGAAGTGGGTGATTGGGCCGGCCGGCCCTCTGCCCCGCCCAGCCCTGGGCCGGCGGGAGGGGGACTGAGCCGGTGGGAGGGCCGAGGGAGGGGGAGGGGCTGCCCTGAGCCCCGCCCACTGACTCAGGTTAGGGAAGGAATGTAGCGCCAAGACGGGTGGGCAGCTTCTCCCCATTGACCCCCAAGGTGACGTCCATGGCCTCAGGCAGTCGGAGGGCCCGGCCTAGGTCCGAGCTCAGGCCGCACCGGCCGGGAACTCTGCCTGATGGGGAGATGGGACAGGTCAGGGCTCAGGGACGGCTGCAGGGCAGGGATTCTCCGGGGTTAGCCCCAGGTAGCTCCACCCACTTCCTGTGCGGCTGGGAATCTGGAACCCCGACCTTCCCACCGGTGAGCTAGGTGAGCTCCCTACTCTTTCCGCAGAGCTGCGGCCGGGCCGAGCCGTCACCCAACGCCCGGCGTGGGCGCGCGCGCGCGCGCGCACACGCGCATTTGTGTGCGTGTGCGAGCGCGCCAGGCTGGGGCGGGGGCGGCATCTTGGTGGAAAGCCTCGCTCCCCGCCCCCCCCCCCAGGGAGGCCCACCTGCTTGCTCTCACGGCTGACCCCCCCCATCGGGGAGGGCAGGTCTATTGCCCACCCTCTGCCAGGGACAGGTTCAGTGAATGGGGCAGAGAGGATTTGGACGGCCCTGGAGCCACGCCCTTAATGCCCTGACCTAGGGCCAGGACACAGCCTCGGGTCCTCTGGTCTGCAGAGTGGCTGAAGCCCCCTCTACCTCCCAAGCAAGCAGGAAGAATGCGTAGCCGGGAGGAGGGATGTCCCCGGATGCTGAGTGGGGGGCTGCTGAGGGGGCTGCTGGGGGGCTGGGTCCGCCCGGGCAGAGCCAGAGCCGGCCAGCTCAGGACAGACACCCTTCAAAGAGGAATCGGGAAGCAGAGGGCCGGGCTGCTTCGGTCTGGAGGGGCCCAGGCGGGTGGACGGTGAAGAGAGGAAGGCCAGGGCTTACCCCAGCGCCAGTGCCCACTCGAGACCCCCCAAGGGGCCTCTGCTCGGTCTGGGGTCCCTTCCTGGGGGCAAAGCAGGCCAGCTTGGGCCCTGGCCCTTCCCAGGGGGACGCTGCCCTGACCTGCCTTCCAGCAGAGCTGGTCTTAAGACCTTTCTGCCTCCCACCTCCATACACCAGAGCCTCCTGGGAGAGTCCCGCCACACCTGCTGTGTTGGGAGGGGTCTCCAGAGGCCGTTTAGCCCAGCCCCTCCTCCCAGCCAGCTGCACCGACCCTTTTGTTGCAGGCGGGGAAACAGGCCCCAAGAGCCTCTGCCCATTGCTGGGGGCCACCTAGGCTTCCTGGGACGTCAGCCAACGCCAATGGGGCCCAGTGGGAAGAGACACCAAGGTGTCCCAGCCCACCCACTTGCTGTTAGGACCACTCAGGAACATTCTGGGGCCTTTCTGCAGGGAGGACCCACCTCCCTTGAGGGCCCAGGGGGCTGGCGGAGGGCACTTTGGCCATGCCCGCAGCCCTAAAGACATCCAGTGCCCCCAGGTGTCCAGCAGTGCCTGGGGCTCCCCATGCCCCACGCCATGATGAGAGCCCCCAGACTCCTTGACTCCTGCCCCTTAGGCATGCAGGTCGGCATCTCCATCCAGACCTTCGTGGGCCCTGGGTGTCCCTGAATCCCGCACACTTCATCATCACCCTTGGTTGCTGCCATTGATACCGACATTAGCCACCCCACGTTAGACACCCCCAACCTCCTCCCCCCAGCTGTCACCTGTCAGCCCATCCCTGGGCGCTCTTGGGCCTGGGGTCGCACCAGATCGGGGCCCTCCGCCCCTTGCAGCGCTCCTAATCTGGTTCGGGGCTTCAAGCATCCTTTTGCCCGATAAACCCTCGGGCACGGATGGGTCTTGTTGCCGCGTTGAAGGATGTCATACCTGGTAGTTTCCTGGTTCATCACGGCCTCTGCTGAAGCTCTACCAACCTTCATAGGTTTTACACACTTCATAGGATATCCATGCTTTTCACTCTGCTGATTCCTAGTTGCACTCATTCATCTGCTGGCCCTTCTGCATCCCAAGTCCTGCCCCCAGGCCCCCAAGGAGGGTTCTCTCTTCCCCCACAGCCTCACATCCTAGTTTCTAGCTCTCACCGAGTAGGGCCTGGGGAGCTCCACTGGGAGGGGCGGGGGGTGGGCAGGAGACATGCTGGTGTCTGGTCTCCCTCCCAGGGAAGCTGTTTGCTCCTCCCACAGCGTTTAAGGGGCCCTACCCAGGCCCGTCCGTCTGGGGGGGGCCCCATCTCCCAGACTGCGTCCTCCCGGGGGAAGGACACCCAGAGCTGGGGGCTCCCGGGTCAGGGCCAGGGAGGAGAGAGCAGGGCCCCAGGGTGTGTTGGGCGGGCGTCACCGGCCCGCAAGCCTTTGCCCAGACACTTGAGCCCCTGGTTTCTCCACCAGACTTGCAAGAGATTCTTGACGCATGACCACTGTCAGCAAAGGTCCTGTCTGTACCCACCCCGGTTTTCCAAGAATTTATATCCTGAAGAGATGCTGAATTCTATAGAATGCTCTTTCTGCTTCCGTCAGACAATCATCCGATTTCTCGTCTCCCCGAATACGTCAACGCATTTTGTATGTTAGACTGTCCTGGCATTTTAGTCAAGTGCAATCCCCATTGGATCAAGCTGGTATTATTTTTAAAATATTTTTGAGTGGTGGGACGCCTGGGTGGCTCAGTCGGTTAGGCATCTGACTCTCGGCTTCAGCTCAGGTTGTGATCTTGGGGTCATGAGATCCAGCCCCGAGTCAGGCTCTGTGCTCAGCGGGGAGTCTGCTTGAGGAGTCTCCCTCTCCCTCTGTCCCTCTTGTTCGTGTGTGCTCCCTCTCTCTCAAATAAATCAATCTCTAAAAAATAGATATTTGAGTAATGAATATCTAGGATGAGGATTTCTGCATACACGTAACGAGTCTGTAATCTCTCCTTGTACCACCCTCACCTGGTTTTAGAACCAGGTTACACTGGCCTCATGAAATGAGGTGAGCTGCTTTTCCTCTTTTTAGAGATTCCAGAACAATTCCCATTAGACAGCTTCACCGTGTCTGGAAACTGGCACACCCACCCACACCGGCTGATGTCTCAGGCACTCCCGGGAGTGGTGTTGGGCTCCCGTTACTATTTGCATTTACTTACGTTACTGGCTCATTCAAGTTTTTTTATTTCTACCAACACCAACCCTGGCATTTCATATTTTCCCTCAAAACTTACCCATTTTTTTAAAAAAATTTCAAGTTCCTTGTACATGGTCACTCTTAATATCATTTTTACGTCTTACTCTCCATCATGTCTGTGTGTTAATTCTTCCTTCCATGTTTTCTCTGTGTTTAAAAAAAATCATCAATCTTCCTAGTTCTTTTCTTCCTTACTCATCTTCAAAGGGACTTTGGTTTTGTTAAGTGTTGCCTCGTTCTCCATTTGTGAGTGTGAAGTTTATATACATAGATACGAGTTCTGTGTATATGAATAGGATGAACGTGTGAAGATGAGCATAAATATTTGTCTACCACGTGTGTTAAAGCTTACTAAACTTTTATCATTGCTTATGTCCTGTTTGCTTGACCTATTTATTGGTTGTTTTTGTTTTTGTTTTTAAAGAACACGTTAAAATCACCAGCTGGTACAGATTATTTCCAGCTACAGCATCAGTCCTGTGAATTTGCAAGCCTCCGCGGTCACGTGCATACATCTGCACCCGGATTTCCACACCACTTCTGATGTGCTTCACCCCGAAACATTAAAGCTCCTACCCCAGCTTTCTTTTGATTTGCTTCGTATATGTCTATGTCCATCCTTCTAGGGGCGTCTTTCACAGTTAAAATACCCTTGAGCAGCATCTAAGGCCGCGCTGGGACCCGGGTTTTGATTATCCCTTGTCCCCATTTATGGGCCTTGCAGATCTACTTTCTTACTCCGCTTGTCTTTCCTCCTTCCCCACCTTCCACCGGAGCGAGGACACATCCTCCAGGGGCTGAAAGGCTGCCCAGCCCGCCCGTATCCATGCAGGGAGTGGGGCTGCCTCACTCCAGTGTGCTCACCCCGCCAGCGTCCGTGGTCTGTCCGCGTCCCTCGCCAGCAGGGAGGGACCTGGCACGCGCTCCCCGCCCCTGCTATCGCTGTGAATGTTTGCTTCTCTTTGCCGCTAGGTGACACGGGAACGTGTCACTGCACCTGCAGTTCTTCTTGCTCTTCTTGCTGGCGAGTGTCCTCCAGGCACGGTTTCAGCTCTGGCTTCCGAGGTTAACCCCCAGGAAGTAACCCTGGCTTTGTTTTTCAGACACTTTAACAACACATACATTTCGAGTTTCAAAAATTTTTCTTCGGTGCTTTGACAACAGAACGTCACTGTCCTGGTTTCCAGAGTTTCAACTCCGAGGCCGCACAGATCTCTGTTCTTTTTTCCTGGGCCTTTTAGGATCTCTCCTTGCTGGTGATTTCCTTAAAATTCTTTAGGGCGTGGCTTGCTTACTCCTGTTTTGCCGAGCGGAGCCCTTTCAGTCTGAGATCATTCACCTTCTGTTGTTGCTTCCCGTAAATTTTTTTCCTCTCATTCTAGAGCTTCATTAGAGGAGGTTAACACCTCCCCTCCTCCACTTCCATTAACCTTCCTCCTCTGGTGTCCCCTCCCCCCGAGCCTCCCTGCCGCCTCCCAGCAGAGGCCCCGGACTGCAGAGCCCACTGTCCAGCCGCGCTGGGCGCCCTCCCCACTGTTCCTCCCGGAACGGCTTCTTCCTGTATGGTCACCAGCCTGGCCCCCTGTCCCGTCCTGGGGCACTCATTACATTTACTTGAAAGCCTGAACACTGCAGCCCATTAACTGGCTTTCTCTGCTAAGAGCCGTTACCTAGTTGTCTGTTTAAGGGGATGCGGCTGCTAGAACCCTCCTCATTTCACTCCGCAAGACCCTTTGCCTTGAGGGTATCTGCTAGCTGGGCTGGTGTTGGGGGGGGGCACAGGGGGCTACAGCCCAGACCCTAAGTGTCCAGTGTGGCCATCTGGGTCCAACCCAGTCTACTGGGCACCCCGCCCCTGGGATGCTCTCCACCCCACTCTGCTGTTTCCACCCTGAAGAGAGGAGGGGTGGGGTGCCCATGTTGCCCCCCCACATCACCCATGCGCTCAGGCCAGCCTCCTCCCTGCGGAACCATGCTCCCACATGCAGACCAGCCCCCCAGGAACCAGGACACACCCCAACTCTCCTCATGTGCCACCCCCACCCCCTGGGAGGGGCAGGGACCAGATGGGACTGGGCGCCTGTGGGGCCTCCCTGGTCCGGAGGAGGTTCCTGTCCAAACAGTCTCCTGCTGACGCACTGGGAGGCCAGCACCTTGAGCCTAAAGCAGCGAACACACAGGCCACAAGGAAGCAGCAGCTTCTTTCTTAAGTTTCTGGGTTTCACATGTACTGGAGCCCACCGCCCAGAGGCCCCGCAGGGGGGAGCCCCAAAGTCCCACAGCAGGGTTTCCTGGGGCAGGAAGGAAAGGGCAGCCTGTCCGTGCCCAGGGGCGCAGTGGGCGTGGCCGGCTGCCCATAAATACTTCTCTATAAATACAGTGGGCCACGACTCCAGGTCAACGGGCTGAGCGCAGCAGTCCCAGGGCCTAGCACCAGAAGAACCTGCTCAGAGGGCAGGGGCCCCTGCCTGCACCTGCAGCCACGCCTGCCCTCAGTCCTGACCCAGGGCCATGGAGGGGGGGCTGGGGGGCGGGGGGGAGGGCTTCCTCAGCACGTGCGGCCAGCGCAGCGGTGTGCTGCACAGCCCAAGGCCGGGCCCACTCGCCTGGGCCCCTTGGAGCTAGGCCAGGCAGGGCCTCCCTCCCCGTGGCCAGCCGCTCCTTGCCCAGCGCAAGGCTGCAGGGCCGGGCAGTCTGGGCTGGAGTCCTGGCCAGCCCCCAGGCGCCCCTCCTCAGTCGTCAGCAAAGTGCCTGGAAGACGGGCCTGCTTGCAGCTGCCTCGGAGCTAGGGTTTCTCTGCCCGGCTGCCGAGCCCAAGTGCTGGTTCATGAGAAGCTGGTTGTGAGGCCGCTGTAGGGACGGGGGGAGGAGGGTCAGCGCCAGGGCAGGCGGAAACTCGAAGCTGCCGGAGCTCTGGGCGCACACTTCCCGTGTCCCCTCCTGCCCTTCCAGCTCCAGCCCACAGGGCAGACGGCCCCCCTTCCTCCCCAGCTTCTGCCCAGCCTCATCTCTGAGGTCCAGGTTCTGGATGGCTGCCCTGTGGGGGCCCAGTTCTGCATAAGTGTTCAACCCTCATCCCTCCTCTGGCCTCTGCTGGTCACAGGCCAGTGACGCCCCCAAATGCAAATGCCATTCTCCCACCTGGGCCCGGAGGGTCCTCCCAGCAAAGCCTCTCCCCTCCCCTGCTCACACCTTCGCAAATAGCGGGGCCTCTCCCCCTCCCCAGATGAAAGCTCCCAGTTCCCCCAGCCCGGCAGCATGGCGGGCTGGGAGGTGCTTTGCTAGAAGGCATCAGTCCACTCCAGGGCAGGGGGCAGGGCCCAGGACTGCAAGGCAGCAGAGCCTTGCCTCTCCTTCCCACGGGCCTGAGGGGTGACCCAGGTCTCAGACCCCAGCTACATGCCGGGCTGCCAGGACAACCCTGGGGCCTGCGGTGCAGTACCAAAGATGGCCACCAGGTGCCGCCGTGGGGGGCGCTCTGTCCAGGACCTCCTCTGCCCGCCAGGAGTCCCCGCCCCTGGGGCTCCTCACAGTCCCCGGCCAGGGCTGCCTCCCAGGGCCGCAAAAACGTGCATACACAAGATCCAGCCCGCCTGTGGGGATCCTAGGCCACGGCCCCGTCTGGAATCCCCACTCAAGGCCTGTCCCCCCCGGCCCCACGGGCCTGGACACAACCCTCTCAGCACACGCCGCCCCTCCCTCCAGCAGCCTGGGCCTGGGCGAGCTGACCAGGGGCTCCAGGGCACCCCGAGTTCTGCCTGCAGATGCACACTTCCCCGGGGACCATGGGGGCCGAGGCCAGGCAGTGCCCTCCCCCACTGCCCGGGGTGGGGGGTTGCCGGCGGGCACTGGCGTGCGCACACACACAGAAGCACACGTAGGCAGGGGCGCACCATGACGCCCCTGTGCACACACATGCAGGGCAAGGTGGGGGGGGTGCAGGGCTGGGTCAGCGCCCAACTACCCTGGATTATCCAGCCTGCCCACAGGGCTGGGGGGCTGCTGGCCCGGCAGAACCCCGCCCCACCCACCGTCCAGCCGCTGCGAGGCCCACACCCCGCCCATGAGAAGCCGCGCAGACACCACGGGTACCGGGCAGGGGCGGCGACATTCTCACCAGCTAGGCTGGCTGCTCTGCTCTGGGGTGGGGGGGGGGCAGCGGGGTCCCCGCTGGGGCCGGGCTAGGGAGCACGCTGTCTTCCCGCCTCCCCCTCGGGAGCCTGACTCACCTTGCTGGCAGGTGGGCCCCAGAGAGCCGTTCACACAGTGGCACAGCCCACTGACGGGGTCACAGGTAGCCCCAGCCCCACAGCCGCAGCGCAGGGCACAGCCCGGCCCAAAGAAGCCCGCTGTGCAGTCTGCAGGCGGGAGGGAGTGGGAGACGCAGGCCTGAGGGCCATCCTGCCTGCTCGGGCCAGGGCACCCCAGGCCCTCTGGGTAGGGGTGGACGGAGCAAGGGCCTCTCGGACCTCACTCTCCCTGCCCTGTGGGAGTTCCCACGTGGGAAGGCGCCAGGTACTGGGCACCTGCCCAGGCCCGGGACTGACAAGGGGGGGGCCTGGCAGTCAGGGATGCCCCTCCCCAGGTCAAGAGGAACACACAACGGTGAGGTCGTGCGTGCAGCCTGCAGCGGACAGCCCCTCCCATGTCCGAGCAGGCTGGCAGATCGGGAAGGTCTCCCTCGCACCACACTGGGGCCCCCGTTCTGGCCAGAGAGCAGGGTGAGGGCTTGACATCCCTGAGCAACAGCCCCACACTGGGCACCCCCCGCACAGAGGCGCGGGTGGGCAACAGCGTCCAGGCCAGGGCAGGGCTCCCCCTACACAAGCAATCCTTGCCACCAGCAGAGACCCACACCCGTGCTCTGCCGAGGGGACCCCAGACTCACCAAGGTCACAGGTGGCCCCTGTGCGCCCCGGGGGACACAGGCACTGGCCGGTGACGGGGTCGCAGGGTGCCCCCGCCCTGCAGTCACAGCGCTGGCGGCAGCCCTCTCCAAAAGAGCCTGGTTCACACCCTGGATGGGGACAGTGGACTCAGTGTCCCCTCCTGTCCCCTACCCGACAGGACAGGGCCAGGGAGCATGTGGGAACACGGAGCACTCACCCCTCTCACAGAGCTGGCCGGAGAAGCCGGCGGGGCAGACACACTGGCCGCTGACGGGGTGGCAGGGGGCCCCGTGCTGACACTCACACGCTGCCCGGCAGGCAGCCCCGTGGAAGCCGGGGGGACAGGCTGAGGGACACCCCCGTTAGAGCTCCTACCTCAGCCCACCCCGAGTGAGCATGGGTCCTGCTTCAGAGGCTCACGTTTCCCTTTCTCCCACCCAGGCCTGGACCCCCCATCGCAGCTGGGCTTAGGTGGGAGGTCCCCCTGCTCTCATGGGACCCCGAGCCAGGGGCCTCTGGCCTTGGAGTCCCACAGTGAGTGGGGCCAGGCCTTGTCTTGCCGGCCGCCACGGGGAGGGACAGGGACAGTCGCCATGGGGAAGCCCACGCTGACCCCGAGGTCCCACGCGGAGCTGCCACCGGGGCCGGGGTCCCCACCCCAGGACTCACAGTGCTGGCAGGCCTGGCCGTAGAAGCCGGGGCCGCAGTGGCAGGCGCCCGTGGTGGGCTCACACGTGCCGTTGTTTTGGCAAGAGCACTGCAGACGGCAGGCGGCACCATAGTGACCAGGAGGGCAGGCTGGGGGGAGAGCTGGCAGGTCGGCCTCCGGCAGCGCAAGGACAGGGAGCACAAGGGCAGGGGGCCCGAGGGACGGCCCCTGGGCACCAGCCTGATTCTTGTGACCCCGGGGGCCTTACCCAGCCCCCACGGCAGCCCCGCACATTGCTCCTGAGCCCCGTGCTCTCCCAAGGGGTCCAGAGCCAGCCCCCTCCCCGCCCAGGGCTGGCCCGCCTGCTCACCCAGCTCACAGTGCGGCCCCGTCCAGCCCAGGCCGCAGAAGCAGCTACCGTTGGCCGCATGGCACAGGCCCCCGTTCCTGCAGGGGCACACGCGCTCACAGCTCACGCCAAACCGGTTCTGAGGGCAGCCTAGGGGCAGGAATCAGGCGCCGCTCAGAGCTCCAGGCCAAGGCCTGACACGCTCTGGGACACGTCCCCACCACACCTGGCCTTCATTCCACAAACCCCTGCTGAGGCCACTCTGCCGCACGTGTGCAGGGAGCTGACAGCAGCCGGTCCCGCCCATTCCTCCACCCTCTCCGCAAACGCCCAGCCCGGCCACGTGCCGAGGAAGGGCAGGGAGTGCCTGCTCAGCTGGCGGGAGCTGGTTAGGGCAGCCTTCCTGGAGGCGGGGGCCCTCTGCACACGCACATCCTCCAGGCGGAGGTGGCTGGGCGGCCTGGCTTTCCAGATGGCCCCTGATCACGATCTGGTTGACCCGTGGCTACTGAACTTCCCTGGAGACATGGCCACGGCCTAGCTGCAGCCAGGCCACAGCTTAGAACTCTGCTACCACGGGCTAAGAACTGGGGGGTCAGTGGGGTGGGGGTCACTGATCCCTTGATGAGATTCAGAGGCTGGCCGAGTGCTCTGACCTACCAGGTTATGGGAGCCAGGCCATGGGGACCAGGACTGCCATCCCGGGCGGGAGCCTCATGACTGCTCCTGGGGTCATCCCCTTTCTCCCACCATGCCCCCGTGGCCCAGGCCTCCCTCCACCTGGGGTCCCCGGCCTCCGGGCCCAGCAGAAAGGGCCAGCAGGACCCTGCGCCACGGACACTTGAGCCAGGCAGCTGGCTCTGTCCTCAGACAAAACAGCCGCTGAACCCTCCTGCTAGGGGGCTCTGGGTTGGAACCTGTCCAGCCCCCACCAGCCACTTGACGGGTCAGTGGAGGCTCTGCTGGTGTGAATGCACCACCCAGCTCCAGGGCCTGGCTCTCCCCTGGGGGACCCATGCCTTCCCCCCATCGGCCCCCCCCAGCCAGATGCAGTGGCATCTGTGAAATGCGGAAGGGCAGGCAAAGCGGGTGCTCACCATGCTCACAGTGGGCGCCGGTCCTCCCGGGGGGGCAGGTGCAGGTGCCAGTCACGGGGTCACACGATGCTCCCTGCCCACACCTGCACACGTGGGCACAGCTGGGGCCAAAGCGGCCCTGTGGACAGGCTGCCGGGAGGAAAGAGAATGGTGGCCACCCCTGCCAGCTCCCCTTCTCTCTGCCATGTCAGCCCAGAGATGGCCTGCAGGGGCCTCCCATGCCCCTACCCACCCTGGCCTCTCCCTTCCACCTGCAGGTTTGGGGGCCAGGGGGCCAGGCCGGGCCGGCTCTGCATGGACAGTGACTAACTGCTGCCCCCCACCCCACTCCTGCCGGCCCAGCCAGGCTCCCAGCCCGACAGACACTCGTCAGCGGGATGCCTAGCTGGCCTCCGTCTGCACAGAGGTGCACAAACCCTGCTGGGCGCGGCCAGTGCAGGGCGGGGGGGAGGACAGAGCTGGCCAGCACGGACACTAGGGTCACACGGACACCCCCCACCTCGGCCTGGCCCCAGGAGACTCAGGAAGACAGACGGTCCGGGGACTGTCCTCCCCACAGGCTGGCTAGGGGGCCTTGCCCACAGAGGCCCAGGGAGCAGCCACCCCCTCCATCCCCCCGACCACTCACGCAGGCTGCAGGTGGCCCCCAGGAACCCAGCAGGGCAGAGGCAGGCCCCGGTGGCTGCGTCACAGGAGTCCCCGTGGACACACTCACACCGCTGCTCACAGCCAGGCCCAAACCGCCCGGGGGGGCATTCTGCAGGAACACAGGCAGGTGCCAGAGGCCAGGGGCCAGGCCTTGCCCCCTGGCATCCCACCCCCACCCCTGGGATGAGCAGCCCCTCCTGAGGACAGCCTGGTAGGCTTGGTTCTCGCCGGGACAATGGCACTTCTGCCCACAGCTCTCCCCAAAGGGGCTGGGTGGGCAGGCTGGGGTGTAGGCGGGAGAGGTCAGTCCTGGCCCAGCTCAGGAACATGCCCCCCATGTGGCCCCGTCTGGGGGTGGAGGTTTCGGGTGCAACTTGGGGGTCTGTGTACCTCAGCTACCAGCCGCTCTGCCCCCCTGGGTGGGGTCACCTACCCTGCTCACAGCCGGGCCCCATGGAGCCTGGTGGGCAGCGGCACTCCCCGGTGACGTGGTGGCAGGCGGCGCCGGGTGGGCACAGGCAGCGCTGGCCACAGGCCTCTCCAAACCAGCCAAGGGGGCAGGCTGCAGGAAGCCAGTGCGGGGGTGGTGGGGAGGCCTAGGGCCAGGGCAGCCCGGAGGGATGACTGTGCCAAGACCCCCCTCCCACCGAGCGGCGGGCTGCGTGGGTGCTGGCGGAGCCGAGGGGCTCACCGTTCTCACACCGGGAGCCTCTCCATCCCGGGGGGCAGAGGCAGGCCCCCGTCATGTGGTGGCAGGTGGCCCCCTGCTGGCAGGCACAGCGCTCCTCACAGTGTGCCCCAAACGTGCCCTCAGCACAGGCTGCGGTGGGCGAGACAAGGCAGAGGGCTGAGTCCGGCGCCAGGGGTGCGAGCAGGGCCAAACGCCCCCCACCCCTCCCACGGGGGGCCCCAGGAGCTCAGATGGCAGCCCCTGCCCCCACCTGCCAAGGGACTACCTCACGGGGCCCCCCACCCTGCAGCGAGGCTCAGGCTACCCCTTGACAGGACCAGCGGGGCCTCCTGGGCTGCCCCCCCCGCACCCCAGCCCCCAATCCGGGGGGTTCTGACACTTGTCCCCGGTCCAGCCGGCTGGGCAGAGGTAGCAGCCCGAACGCCGCTCACAGAGGCCACCGTTGAGACATCCGCAACTGAGCTTGCAGCCGGCTCCGAAGCGCCCAGGGAGACACTCTGCGGGGCACGGTACCCCAGCAGTGCCCCACACCCCCAAGGCCCAGGAGACCCCCACCCCACCCGTGCTTCCTGTACCCAGAGCCTGGGGCCCCTTCCTGGAGAAGGGGAGGGGCCTGGGGGGAGGTCACACCGCAGACCCGCCGGCAGAAATCTCTTTGCCCACAGAGAGTGGGGGTGGGCCAGCATGCTTTGGGGCACCCGCCCTGGCTCCTGGGTCCCTCCTCCTCCTCTGCCTGACCCGGGCTCACCCTGCTCGCAGGCTGGGCCAGCCCAGCCCTGCGGGCACGTGCAGTGGCCTGACACGGGGTCACAGGTGCCCCCGTGCTGGCAGAGGAGGCATGCTCACAGCTGTGGCCGACAGGCCCGTGGGGCAGGCTGCGGGGGGAGGGGAGCAACTCGCAGCAGCCCAGCCCAGCAGGCCCCACGCTGCCCCCAGCGAGCGTCAGCTCCGGTGGTTCTGCACCTTCCAGGCCCCCCCAAAACTCAACAGCAGACTTCGTGGGGAGGACCTCTCCCAGGGCTCCCTCTAAGACAACCTGCCCCAGGCCACCCTGGGCCCACCAACCCAGCCCTGCGGAGCTTGGCACCTCCCTGCCCGTCCCGTCCCCCACCGGTGCCAGGCCTCAGCCCCCGCCCACCACTCCTGCTGAGACTCCTGTCCACCAGCATCCCGCGCCCACGTGACCCCGTGTGGAACACAGAAGGGCTGCCACAAGCCCTGGTCCCAGACTCCTGGGGTGGGGTGGGGCTTACGCTCCAGGCAGGTGGGGCCCATCCAGCCAGGGCTGCAGCGGCACTGTCCATGGACGGGGTCACAGGAGGCCCCATTGAAGCAGGAGCAGGTCTGGCTGCAGTTGTGTCCGTAAGTGGGGGCGGGGCAGGCTGCAGGAGGGAAGGGACCGTCAGGGGTCTGGGGGAGGCGCTGCAGCAGATCTGGGGCAGCTGGGCAAGCTTCCCTTCCCTCAGGCCTGGGCACCCCTCAGGGTGGCCACACAGAGGGCCTAACATGCTGGCAGCCCCTCTCCTGGAGCCCCCAGGGCTGGCTGGCCTCTCGCACCCTGCGCACAGCAGGGGCCCTGGCGGCCGGCAGGGCAGAGGCAGGAGCCGCTCACAGAGTCACAGGGGGCCCCGGGGGCGCAGTCACAGACACGGTGGCAATCCAGGCCGAAGAAGCCCACCGGGCAGGCTGCAGAGAGCGGGTGGTGATGGGACACGGCCGGGGTGGCAGGGTCCGCCCGCGAGCCCACAAACACGCCCCAGCTCACCGCGTTCACAGAAGGCTCCCCTCCAGCCGGCCGGGCAGGTGCACGCCCCGCTGACGTGGTCACAGGCTGCCCCGTGCTCACACTGGCACTGCTGTCCACAGCCCGGCCCAAAGCGGCCCTGGGGACACCCTGAGACACGCAGCCCCGGCCCACGGTCAGCTGGAGCAGGGGAGACCAACCCAGACCCGCCTGCGCCTCTGCTGGCCCAGCTGGGGGAGGGGACCGTGGGCACGCGTCCCCTGCCTGCCCAGCTAAGGACTGAGCCAGCCCCCGGAGGGGTAGGCGCCCCAGGCATGACCTCTGGAGCTGCCCCAGCCTGGGGGGTGGGGGATGCACTGAGAAGGCCATGGCCCTTGGTCCTCCCCTCCTCCAGGTGCCAGGTGGCCGCTCCCTGCCCTCCCGGCCCACCGCTCCAGGTGCACCTTACAGACCCAGGTAGGCTGGGGCCTGGGCCCGGCGGGACAGGGGGAGCTGGGGAACCTCAGGGGAGGAGACCCTCCGCCTGTCCCACAGACAGAAGGGCAGGACCACAGCCCCTGATGTGTGCATGCGTATGTGGGCGCATGCGTGGGTGCATGGGCGTGCATGCATGGGCGTGGGCGCGTGGCTGTGGGCGGCTCCGGACTCACGCTGTTCACACTGCAAGCCCGTGTAGCCGGCCTCACACACACACAGGCCACTGACCGCGTCGCAACTTCCGTGGCCTGGGCTGCAGGTGCAGGGGTGGCTGCAGTCGGGTCCCCAGTGCCCATCGTCACAGGCTGCAACACAGCCCAAGTCAGCCTGCACAGGCCCAGCAGAGCACAGGCACCGCGGCCAGGCCAGGCACAGGACCTCCTGCTGAGCCCCCCCCAGCCCCCCCACCCTGAGCCCTGGGCCACCCACCCCTCTGGCAGCCAAGGCCGGTCCATCCAGGGGCACAGCTGCAATGTCCAGTCTCCGGGTGGCAGTGCCCATCGTTGGCACAGGAGCACCTCGTCTGGCAGCCGGGCCCAAACCAGCCTGCAGGGCATGCTGCAGGACAGGGGAGGGTCAGCCAGGGGGGCGGCCGGGGTGCAGGCTAGGGGCTGATGTCCTGCAGGTCGGGGGACCCCGTACTCACGGTCCTGGCAGCGGCTGCCCACGTAACCGGGGGGGCACAGGCAGGCTCCGGTCCCAGGCTCACACGCAGCGCCATGCTCACACTCCAGGCAGATCTCCTGGCAGCCGAGCCCCCAGCGACCCTCGGGACAATCTAGGCCCCCCACAGGCAGTCAGTCTGGCTCGGGGCCTTGCTGGCCCCGTCTGACACGGCACTGACCCTGCGCCACGGCCCAGGGAGGGGGAGGAACAGCTCATGGGAACCCCCAACCCCTCTGTGGGCCACAGGCTGCAGAGCACCACCCCCAGAAGAGGGGCCCCTGCCCCAGGACGGGCAGTGGGCAGGCAGCCTGGGGGCAAAGCACAGCCCCCAGAAAGGCCGGGGGCTCTGCTGGCCAAACTGGGCACCCAGGTCAGCGCAGACCCCCAGCCCGGACCCAAGGGCGGCTCAGCATGGGCCCTCAGCTGCTAAGCACGGGCCTGGGGTCTGCAGGCTGCAGGACCCCCAAATTCAGTCCAGGGCTGTGACCACCCAGAGTTGTGTAGCACAGGGAGGGGAGGGTGTCTCAGGACACCATGGCCACTCACCTGCCCTCAGCCGTCCCCAGTTCTCCCTGGAGGGCACAGGCCCTGCCCCATGACCCGGTCACAGGGTGCCCCCCCCACGGGAGCCAAATGTCCCCCCTGGGCACTCTGTAGGGAGGAACCGCAAGGGCCTCCTTGTGGGGCTGCCCCCTGCCCCAGCAGGGCTGCTGGGCTCAGCCAGGGTCCCCAGTGACCACGGGGACCACAGGAGCAGGCAGAGCATGGGGCACACGGGTCAGGGGGACCCGCTCGGGGGGAGGGGGTGCAGGAAGGACTCTGGGCACCCTGCAGCAAGCTGGAGGCAGCTCGGTCCTCCTTCCTACCCCCTCCCCACCCAGCCAGGAAGCCCAGGACAAGTCTGGCCCCCTCGGTCTCAGATCCCCAAAGAGCATGGGGTGGGGTGAGGTGGGGGCCTGCATACACCACTTTACCACCAGCTGTGGCCTTCTCCCAGCAGGATGGGGGCTGCCATGGGAGCCAGGCTCATTAAGAGAGTGTGGAGGACCCAGAGTCCTGGGACTCCCTCCTCCTCTGCCCAGCAGAGGGGCAGTGAGACCCCAGGGAAGAGTGGAGACAAGGAGAGAGAGCCTCCAGAGAAGAACTGGCCCAGGTGCTCTGTGCCCACCGCAGGGCTGCAGTGAAGCATGTGGGGGCCAGGAGCCTCGCGCCTCCCTGTGGGGACAGGCAGAGCCCCAGGCGCTGGAAGCCCCTGACCAGCCCAAGCATAGCTTCCCCCACACTGCACCTGCCCCGGCAGGGCCAGCTGGCGGCGGTGACCTTGGGCAGCCCTACAGTTCCTCCCCTTGGGCTGCAAGGAAAGCCCATGGCCAACAGACACATGAAAAAATGTTCATCATCATTAGCCATCAGGGACATTCAAATCAAAACCACAATGAGTTACCACCTCACACCAGTCAGAATGGCTAAAATGAACAAGTTAGGAAACGACAGATGTTGGCGGGGATGCGGAGAAAGGGGAACTCTCCTACACTGTTGGTGGGGATGCAAGCTGGTACAGCCACTCTGGAAAACAGTATGGAGGTTCCTCAAACAGTTGAACATAGAGCTACCCTATGACCCAGCAATTGCACTACCGGGTATTTACCCCAAAGATACAAATGTAGTGAAAAGAAGGGGCACGTGCACCCCAATGTTCACAGCAGCAATGTCCACAATAGCCAAAGTGTGGAAGGAGCCAAGATGCCCTTCAGCAGATGAAAGATAAAGATGTAGTCCATATATACAATGGAATATTACTCAGCCATCAGAAAGAATGAATACCCAACTTTTACATCAACATGGATGGGACCGGAAGAGGGAATTGCTAAGTGAAATAGGTCAAGCAGAGAAAGCCAATTATCATACGGTTTCACTCACAAGTGGAAGATAAAGAATAGCACGGAGGACATTCGGCTAACCGGCCGCTACAGAGAGCAGTGGGCAGGATGGACACTTCTCCGGAGAGAGCACCCGGCCGCCGCAGGCCCGGGGAGTGGGTGCACATGTGTGCTCATGTGCCCCAGTGCTCTGCTGAGTGTCCGCGGGGGTCTGAGGGAGGCCGAGAGAAGAGTCCGGGGTCCGGGTGGGGAGCCTGTAACTCGCCAGAGCTTGTAGGGACAAGACAGCAGCAGCTAAAGAGCAGCAGACACCACAAAGCCCCTTGGGGTGCACGTCCAGCTGGGGGGGGTCCAGGCTGGGATCCCAGCACCCCCACACACACCTCTCCTGGACCCCTGGGACCCGAGAGCCCTGCACAGGGTCAGCACTGCAGTCTCCAGGACCACCACTCTGGAGGGACGTAGCCTGGCTGCAGAGGGAGATCCTGACCCCTCGGCTCAGGCTGGGTCCCCAGGGCCCCTTCCTTGTTCCCCAGAGGGGACAGGCCATGGCTAGGGGGAGGTCGAGCCAGCCGGCCCCCAGGCATGCTCACGTCAGTCACCCCATGGGCCCGGTGGTCCCCATCCACCTGGGGCCAGCAGGGGCAGACAGCACACACACCACATACCACGGGCGGCTCCCAGCTGCCTGCACCTTGTGAGCGGGGCCGGGGTCACCCCAGGACTCAGGCTGCCTGCGGTGTGTAAACACAGGCCCGGGCCTCCAGCCGGGCCCACCACTCTGCACCCACTCCCTCCAGCCCCAGGCCAGGGCAGCCATGCGGACGGCCTTCATCATGCGCCACGCACCACACACCACGCACCACGCTGCACCTCCAGCCCAAGACTGCGCTTCCAGTAGCTGCCCGGGTCCCAGAGACTCAGACCCACCAGGACAGAGTGCCAGCCCCCCAGATCCCAGCACGCTGAGCATGCTCTAGCTAACAAGTGGGGGGGGCGGGGGTAGGGAGGGAACAACATTAGAGGACGTGACCCCTTCCCTGGGCCGGGCCCCGGGCACACAGACACACTCCCGTCCCAGCAGCCCTGACCGGGGCACGGGGACAGGCAGACCAGTGCAGAGTCACCACTGCGCGACCAGGGTGGGGCCAGAGGACCCACACCCCACCCGACCCTGGGCATCGCTGGGGCCAGCCACTGACCTTGATCACAGTCCTTCCCCTGGTAGCCGGCAGGACACAGCCCCCCACACTGGCCGCTTACGGGGTCACAGGCCACGCCCTGAGGGCAGGTGCACGCCTGTCGGCATCCGGGCCCAAAGAAGCCCGGCATACACTCTGCAGGGGGCGAGGAGAGAGGGGCCTGCAGTCTCAGCCAGCTTGCGGCCCTCCCCGCCCCCCACCCCCCTGCACTCACCATCCTGACACCGCTCGCCCCTGAAGCCGGCCTTGCAGGAACAGCTACCATCCCTCCGGTCACAGGTCAGCGTGTTCTGCCGCTCACACAGGCACTCCTCTGAGCAGCTGGGCCCAAAGGCCCACGGCGGACACGCTGCACCCACAGAACCAACAGGGGGGCCTGCCTACCTGCAGGGTCCCAGGGTCTCCAGCCCCCCGAGCCACACAGAGAGGCACCGCCCACCCCAGCCACCGGGACCACCGTGCCTGTCTCATAGACGAGAAACAGGGTCTCAGCGGGGTCCAGGCACTTGCCCCGGGTCACGCCACTTCCCAGCCAGGCGGCTCTTGGAATCCCGATCTCCCCCCCTTTAAAAAATCCTTCTACAAAGTACAGTACGGGGCTCCCAGATGAAGTCTACTCATCGTCAGCCACGTTTCCCCACCAGCCCACCAGGGAGGGGTGACCCCTCTGGGGATTCAGGACTCACCCCTGCTGCCGGGAAAACTCCAAACGCCAAGGAGAGCCCTGTGCCCCAGCAGCTTCCAAGGGAGGCCTGCCCCCGCCCATGCTGCCGTCGACCCGTTAGCCCAATTGTGGGGCCAGGAAGCAACAGAAGGCTGGGGACCACCCCCCCAGACACCCTGAAGGCCAGCACAGTCTGGAGGACACGGCTCTGGGTCCCTGGAGCCCACTTGCCTGCCGGGGGACCTCGCTGAGCCCTGCGTCCCCCTCTGCAGATGAACAGTCACCCCCGAGCCGGAGTGTAGGCATCAAGGCCCAGGAGCACAAGGCCCTACTGGGGCAGCACGCGCCACCCCCTGGACACCGGCAGCTGGGCAGGGGACTCACCCAGGTGGCAGAAGCGGCCGTAGAGCCCTGGGTCACAGAGGCAGGCCCCGTAGAGGCGGTGGCACCGGCCACGGTTGGCACAGTGACACTTCTTGTGACACTGCTTGCCATAGAAGCCCTTGGGGCAGCCTGCGGGAGGCAGGGCCTCTTGAGTGCCCACGTGGACATGCCCCCACGCCCGTGCAGATGCTCCAAGGACCCCCTGTGCCCGGCACAGGAGCCGGGAGTGGCCCAGGCCCCTGGGGCAGGGCCGGACGACTTTGGGGCTACTAGCAGCCTGAAGACTCTGCATTCCAGACAGGGAGGGGCCCGGGGGCAGACAAGGGCACCATGAGGACAGGGCACACACAGGATGAGCCACGGATATGGCCATCTGCCCTGGCTGGCCTGTCTCCCCAGCGTCTGTGGTCTGGAGAACGGCCCGGGGCGCAAAGCCAAGCACATTCTCCAGCGTACGCGTGGGACGTGCACAAAGACCTCACCCCAGTGTCCTATGTCTGACCCTCATCTACCACATCCTGACTCCCATCCCTCGGTGGTCACCCAGCCCAGCCTCTGGCCCTCAGAGAAGGCAGGGCACACGGCCCCAGCCGGCCAGCATCCAGAGACCAGGCTCAGGGGGCCCGCAGCTAGGAAAAGACATCTGGATTTCCTTCCCAAAGTGCCTCCTCCGGGCTCGCTCCTGCCCCAGTCCTGTGTCCTGAAGGGCTGCAGGGAGCTAAAGAGTCACCCTGGGGTACGTCCCCATCTAATCCCCAGGATTTAGAGGCGAGACCCTCCTGGGTTATTCTAATCCACGAGCGTCCTTAAAAGAGAAAGGAGAGGAAAGCCAGACATGTGAGGTCTGACCAGAGGGAGGGGGAGGACAGCCCCGTGGGGCCACCGCCCCGAAGCCCCGGGCACAGGGTCCAGGGACTGAAACTGCCCCCTTGATAAGGGAGGAAGTTCTTGACACATTAGCTACATTGTCCAGCAAAACAGGCAGAATTTTGAAGGTCTGCTGTCTTCAAAGGAAGGCGTCAGTCACCTGGGAAACTTATTTACAGAGACCCTTGAATTCTTTCAAAAACGTAGACACTTCACAGTTCAAAAGGACGGTAGTGTTGTCCCACGCAGCCATGGGCCCAGGCAAATCCCACCCAGCCACAAAAGAGCTCTACTTGAATGCTTCCAGGGACAGGGAGCTCACTACCTTACAGGGGAACCCACTACAGAAGTGCTCTTCTGCCAAGTCTTCACCCTGTGCTACAGTTGGGCCCCAGGAAAAGCAAACAGTGAAACACGTTGTTGCCTTCCCCCTCCCGGCTCCTGCGGAAGGCAGGCGGCGAGGAGAAAGCAGGCAGGCCAGCTGAGAGGTTGTGTCCCATCCCCTCCACCCCAGGGACACTCCAGAATCCCGGGAGGAGCTGCACCCACCGTCCTCACAGCGGGCTCCACCGACGCCGGGAGGGCAGCGGCAGGCGCCCGTCACGGGGTCACAGGTCCCGCCATTCTGACAGGCGCAGGAGAGGCTGCAGTTCTTCCCGAAGGTGTCTGGAGGACAAGCTGCAGGTGGGGACAGTGACGCGTGAGGGCCACTGGCCTGCAGAAGGACTCTGGGCCTGGCAGCCCCTCTAGGGACACTGAGACACCGTCCCACGGTGTGGGCCACCCCGTTCAGAAGTGACACCCAGAGCAACAGACAGCCGCACCCGACCCCCAGTCCGGCCCCAACACACGGCAGACATCACTAATCAGTCACCGCATCCTCTCCCTCTGAACTCTGGCACATCCACCTTCTCAGCAGGGCTTTTGGCAGAGCCCCGGAGACCGACCAGCACCGTGGGCCTGGCCCAGGGTCACTGGACAGGGCTGGGAGAGCAGGTCTCAAAGGCACTCCAGCTACCAACCTGCCTGCCGAGTGGCCTGGGTCATGGCTGCTCTCACCCAGGACGGGGACGTGACCAGCCTGCCCACCGGCTACTCTTTGTCAGACCCCCTTCACTGCCTTAGCTGCTGGCCTGCTTGCCCTGGACCATCTGCGAGGGGCAGATGCCAGGCCCTGCCAGTCCCCAGGGCCCTGGCCCAGGGTGGCTGCCCGCAGGTCCCGGGGCTCACACCACCCCAGCCCCGTGGCCTCACCCTCGTTGCAGATGAGGCCGGTCCAGCCCTCGGGGCAGTCACAGCCATCCAGGCTTGGGAGGCAGGTCGCCCCATTCCGACAGTCGTCACACGTGAGGCTGCAGTCCTGGCCAAAGGAGGCATCCAGGCAGACTGGCGACAGACAGGGGCAGCGGGGGGTGGGCGTCAGGACCTACCTGGTCCAGCCAGGCTCAGCCCCATGTGTGCTGTGCAAACCCAGCACCTTCTCTGAGCCTTGGTCAAACAAGACCACTACCAGGCTCTTCCTCAAGCCCAAGACCACAGGGGGGCAGTGGCCGGGCCGAGGGGGCACTGGCCGTGGTCCCTGGGAGCAGAAGTCCCATGGCTGGACCCGCCTCTCACCAAACTTCTCCATCAGCGTGTGCTCGCCCCGGGCCTCCGCCGCTGCCTCCTCCTCCTGGACCCCGACATAGTCGTCTTGGAAGAGGTGAGGCAGTTCGTCCTGGAGCACCGCGACATGTGGGAGGGGCCGCACAAAGGGCAGCTGGCCATTCAGGTCCACCTCGGGGATCTCCAGCGCTGGGGGGCGCACAAAGGCCCCTTAGCCCCTGCCACCCACTTGTCCTCCTTGGTACTGGACCCTCCTGCCCCTGGGTGCCCAGTGCCCAGAGGCGGCTCAGAGCCTGAGCCCCATCCGGTGGGCTCCCACCAGCAGCCCCTGCTGCACCCCTCCTCATGGTGGCAAGGGGGCATCCTCCCAGCGGCATCCTCCCCAAGCGTGGGAGGGAGGGGAGCAGGGCAGCTCTCTTCCCCTCGGATGCTGTCCTCCGTCCCTCGTGTCACCTGGGCAGGGCAGGAGCTGGACCACCCAGGACCCCCGGGGGCAGGACCCTGGCCTGGGGGATGCCCCTACCGGCCAGCCCCTCCCCCACCTTGCTGCCCTGGGCCTGGCCCACAGCGGGAGGGGGTGCTGAGGTGGGTCCATCCAGCCAGGGAGGGGAGTGCGGGGCACCAGGAGCAGGGGCCTAGAAGGCCGGGGCCCCGAGGTGAGAGGTGGAGACTCACGGGCACAGCCCCTGCGGTCCTGGTCCAGCCGGAAGCCGGCCTCACACGAGCACCGGAAGGAGCCCGCCAGGTTGGTGCAGCGGTGCTCACAGCCGCCGCGGCCAGAGGCGCATTCGTCCACGTCTGCAGGCAAACCCGGGGCTGCTGGGGCCTATCCTCTGGGGGTCGGGGACGTGGGGCCCGCCCACCCTGCCTCCGCCCACTGGACTGAGGCCACGGCCACGGCTGCCGGGAGAGGCCCGCTCCACGGCCGTCCTCCCGTGTCCAGCGTCAGAGTAAGAACAGGCACCAGCCCAGGGGAGGCGGGGGCGGGAGCAGCCGGGGGTGCAGGCCTGCGCGGGAGACCGCTGGGGGGCACAGGCAGGTCGCACGGCCCTGTCAGGCAAGGCCCTGGGGCGGCCACCCCCAGCGGCCCCGCAGAGGCCTCCCGCTCGCCGCCATTCCGACAGTCGTCACACGTGAGGCTGCAGTCCTG